AGAAAAATAATTACCTAAACTAAATAAAATATATTTATTAAATATAAACAAATAAAAAGCATTAATTAAAATTATTAAATAAAAACTTAAAAAAATATATATATAAAAATCAGATTTACTTATAAGGAGTTTAATCTTTTTAATACCCAAAAAAACAAAAATAAAACACCAAAATTAAACGAAAATAAAAACGTAATATATTAAGATATATATAATTACTAACATCTTAACTTTATTACTAAATAAAACAACTACCCCTTACTTAATATTAATAACTTAATAAAAATAATAAAAAATATAAAATAGTTTATAATATTAAACTTTAAAAAGGTATTTTACCTAATTTAAATAACTAAGGAAAATAAATAAAAAACAACAATATAAACCCCTTTTAATTATTATAAATATCTAATTATACTATTTGGACTTATAAATATATTAATAACATTTTAAAGAATAATTAAAACTGTATTACAGAAATTTTTAAGAAAAACAGTTTTTATTTACTTAAATAATATCCTAATTTTCTTTAAGATCTTTAATTAATATAAAAAACATATAAACGAAATATTAAAAGTCTTAAATAAAATTAACTTATTAATAAACCTAAAGAAAAGCAAATTTTATATATAAAAAATTAATCACTTAAAATATATAATTACATTTAAATAAATTAAAATATAAGATTTAAAAATCGTAATAGTACAAAATTAATTAACACTTAATAATATTATTACTATATAACAATTCTACAATTTTACTAATTATAACAAATAATTAATAAAAGATTTTAATAAAATTATAAATCCTATTATAATTACTATATAAAGAAAAGAAAGAACTTTCCAATAGATGCTAAAAGCAGATTAAGTTTTTAAAAAAATATAAAAAGCCATCACTAATAATCCAATAATAAGATTATTTAAGCCAAATTAGCCAAAACAAATTCATACAGATAAATTAAACATAATTATAAGCGCAATCTTAAAATAACTTAAAAATAACAAAATATAGCACCCAATGGCATATTTATTTAAAACTTTTAAAAAAGTTTAAATAAAATACCAAATTTATAATAAAAAATTATTTATTATTATTATAATATTTAAAAAATAAAAATATTAACTTAATAAAATTAAAGAACTAATTATAATATTATCCAATTATAACAACTTTAAAATGTTAATAATTATTTAGAAATTAAAACTTAAAATCTAAAAATAAATAAAATATTTTAATAATTTTAACTTTAAGATAATTTATATTATAAAAAAGGCTAATACGTAAATCGATATATTTAATAAATTTAATAGCGTTACCACGAAAAATATAAAAAAAAGTAGTACTTATATTAAATAAATAAAAAATATTTATTTTATTAATATTATATTTTATAAAAAAAGATAATATATAATTAATATATATTAAAAAAATATTATTTATGGAGGAATTATTTATAAATATTAAAATAGGAAAAGGTATAATTATATACTTAAGTAATATATATATATTAAAAACCTTATAATATAAGTTCGTTAAAGAATATTACGAATATTTATTATATAAATATTAAAGAATCTTTAAAACTATATAACAAATTATAAAAGATTATAACTTTCCTAGCTTATTTAAGATAATTAAAGAAATAATTAACAATTATAATATATATAACAAAACGAAAATAATTAAATATAAGTTATATAAGCTTATATAACCCATAAAAATTCTGAATAAAGCTTGGAAAACTATTACATAGGATTTTATCATTAAGTTATTACTATTAAAAAAACCTATAATTAATATACTATATAATAATATATAAATAATAATTAATAAATTAATTAAATATAGTTATTTTATATTTTATAAAAAGTTTAATATAATTAAAAATTTAATTTATATTTTTTTTTAAATATATAATTAATAAATATAAATTATTAAAACGTATTATTTTAAATAAAAATAAATTATTTATATTAAAATTTTAAATTAATTTAATAATAAAAATAAATATAAAATAAAAATTATTTATAATATATTATTTATAAATAAATAAATAAATAAAGCGTTTAAATTAAATATTAAAATAGTATTTTTATATATATATTAATAAAATATAAAATAATTAAATAAAATTATTACGTTAAATAAAAATTATATATAATAATTTTATAAATAAAAATATAAAAATATCTTTATTTAAAATAAATATTAATTACAATTTTATTATTATAAAATTAATTAATATAAAAAAATATTTATATCCAAAATAAAAGCCATAATAAAATAAGTTATTATTATATAAAAATATTTAATAAATAAGCTTAAATTTTTATAAATAAAAATAAAAAAATATAGTAATTAATATAAAATTAAAAAATTAATCTTTAAAAAAAGAAATAAAATTTACTTATTATAATAAAATATTAAAATTAAAAAATTAAATAATAAATTAAATTATAAAAAACTTAAATCTTTTAAATTTAAAAAAGTTATTTTAAAAACTAATTATAAATTATTATTATTAATAAAAATAAAATTATATTTAATATTTTATATTTCTTTATTAAAAAAATACTTAAAAATATATTAATATAAATTATTTTAAATATTAAAATTAATTAAAAATATAAAATTAAAAAAATATTAAACTTTAAATAATTTAAAAATTAAATTAAATATTTAATTAAATAGAAAAATTACTTATTAAAAAAATATATATAAAAATTAATTAAACACTTTAAAAACACTTAAAAACTTATAAAAATATTTTATTGAAAAAATTTTAATTGCTTATAAATAATAATAAATTTATCCTTAAATCAAAACTATTTTAAAAGGTAATAACCCCATTAAGATCGCCCCCGGAAGAATTAAAAGATATAGACGGACTAACTTAATTAAAAGCATTTTAACTCCTACCTTTTCCCTCTTCCTCCTCCTTACAATCCAGCTCCACCTCGCACTTAAAGATGCAAAAAGCTTTACCTTTAATAACATTTTCTCTTTTATAAATCTCTTTCAAACAAAAAATATATCCTAACATTTTTTTACAATATTAAAAAATATATTTAAAAATATTAAAAAGATTTTCCTAATATTACATTATTACATCCTTAATCCTTAAATACTTATCTTATAATAATTTAATTTTTTACTTTAATTTATTTAAAAAATTTATTTTTTAAATATTATAACTAAAATATTAATTTTTTTAAATATAAATATTATAAGTCGAAAAATTAAACAAAAAAATATAAAAAAAACTTTTTAAAATACTTATAATTAAAATATAAAATTAAAATAATACTAATAAACTTAATATAAAAAATACAAAATTCTTTATTTTTTTATTAATTAATATAGCTTTTACGCTTTATAATAAATTTTAATATATAATTTAATATTTTAATAAATTAACTTAAAAAAAAAGGAAAATAAATATAAGAAATATATTTATTAATAGATTTTTAAAGGTAAAAAACTTAAAAAAAAAATATTTTAAATTAATAATATAAAAACTATATTTTATATAAAAGCGGGAATTTTAAAACATATAATTAAAAATAAATAAACCTTAATAATTTTAATAAAAAAAAGTAATTTTAATAATCTTAATAATTTCAATAAAATTACTAAAATTATTAAAATTATAAAAGCTTTAAATTAAAAATAAAAAAAATTTATAAAATATTTAAACCACTATATATTTAATTAATTATTTATATTTTCTTAATTATTAATTTAAACCTTATATTTAACCCATATAAAAAGAAAGACTTTAAACTTTTTTAATAAACACTTTTAATATTTTATTAACACTTAACTTATATTATTATTATTTACTTAAAATTAAAACCCCTGTTATTACACTTTAACGGATTTAAGTATAAATTCGTTACAATTACATAATTTTTTTTTAAAAAACCCCCATTTAATTTTTTACTTTTCCTTAATTTTCTTTTAATTATATTTTAAATACTTAATAAATTAATATTTATCTTTTTTATATACTTAATATTAATATTTTCAAATTTTAAAAAATTATTTTATATTATATTTATTACTTTTATTTTTATAATAATACTTTTAATTAATATAATTATTATTATTATTATTATTATTATTATTATTATTATTATTATTATTATTATTATTTTATAAATTTTAATAAATATTTAAAACCTATTTATTAAATTTTTAAACTGCATTAATAATTTAAAAAAATATATTACAATTAAAATATAACTTAATAAATTTAATAAATTACCATAATAAATTATTACTTCCTTTTAAAATTAAAGTTTTATACTTTTTAACATAATAAAAATTTATTAAATAAAATTAAAATACATTATAAAAAATAAAAAAAAATATTGTATAAAACTAAGTTTATTATATTTTAACCGTATAATAAACGTTTAAAAAAACAAAACTTATTTTCGAAAATATTATAAAATTCTTTTATATAATTACTTTTATTATTTTAAACTTTTTTAATAAATTAATTTTTTTTATTAAAAAGGAAAAAAAAAGAAAAAAGTTAAAAGAAATTTAAGCGTTTAATAAAAAAAGGGTTAAATTATAAGCTTTTATAATTAAATAAGCGGTAAAATATAAAATATCGATAATAAGTTATTTAAAGTAAAAAAAAAATGCGTTATTATTTATAAAGTAAAAAATGTATATTATAAGTAAAAAAGCAATGGTTTAACCCAAATAATAAATTATATTAAATATTACTTTATATATATTATTGTTTAAAAATTATAAATCGTTAATTATTATTATAACGTAATATAAATATATGTAAATAATTATATATTCGGGTAAATTAATTTTAATATTTATTTATTATTTTTTTTAAATAATATTTAAATTATTTTTTATTTAAAAGTAATTATTTAAAAATTAATTAATTTTATTTACTTATTATTATATTATTTCATTTACTTATTATTATTATATTTCCATTATGTTTAATTATGCACATTACATATTACACATAACACATTACACTCAATACATTTCATTTAACCATTTCACTCAACCATGTGGCATATAATCGCTGCAAACATCGAACGACGTCACCACGCTATTAGCTGTGCTGATGATGTACCCACCAATGGGAATATCCGACGTCGGCATTCTTGAACTTCTCGATTCTGATCCTCGACCGACCTTTGTCGTCGCTATTGCACCGGCGCAGTCGTCGCATCCGATCTATGCGAACCCCGCCTTGCGCGAAAAGCCCGCGCTGCACGCGCAAGTTGTCGAGTTATCCCGGTCGCGTCATGACTCCTTTTGGGACTGGGTGACGGCTTCTACTCCCCGCAGTTCGAACCCAGGCCACACCTCCCTTTTCGAGCGTATATACTGGACGCGGTCCATCGTCGGCAATAAATGGGCTGTTATCAGTGGTAATCATGGAGTGACATCAGAAGAAGACGCCCGCGGCAGGAGGGCTTCCCATAGCCTGGGAAAAAGCACCAGGATCCTGCACGAGAGATCCTTATCCGTTGCTCCAGACGATGGGGATTTTGGCTGGACACCTCCAGACTTCATACTTGAACAGGAGTCCTTTGTTCACGTTATCAACACCCTGGACTGGGCCGCAACACCTCTCGGCCCGCTGTCCCTCTGGCCTCCTCTCCTGCAGCAGACTTTTAATCAGGTTCTTGCCGACTCAAGACCCATTGTTATCTACTGGGGCGACAAGTTGACTACTCTATACAATGAAGCATTTAGCCAGCTCTGTGGATCAAAGCATCCTTCTTTACTAGGGAAGTCGGTCGAAGACGCCTGGCCTGATTTTTGCGAGAAGATCAAGCTGGCAATGTCTTCAGCCTCTAAGCTGCGTGCGGGAAATGAGGACGAGTGGCGGTTCTTTGTAGAGAAGGCTGACGGGAGTTCCGAGGAGAAATATCTCAAGTGGTCCATGATTCCCATTACCGAGAAGAATAGGTATCTTGGTTTTATCCAGCCTATCCAAGATACTACTTCCATGCGACTCTGGGAGAGACGCATGCAGATGCTGATTGATTTAGGTGACACGTTGGTCACTGCTCGTGATGTTAAGTCGTATTGGACTAAGCTCATTCAAGAATTTGAAGCGTGCCAACCCGCCTATGACATCCCTCTCGCCATTCTCTATTCGGTCGAGGAAGACTGGGAGTCGTCATCTGCGCGGAAGACTTGTCGACTAGAAGGCTGTCTAGGTGTTCCGCGAGGTCATCCTATAGCACCCCCACAGTTACAACTAGATGGGAGCGATCTGGGTTTGTCTCTATCCTTTAGAGAGGCTCTCGAATCACAGACCCCCACCCTATTACAGATTAGCAATGGAACATTGCCAGAGTCGTTGCTCGAAGGCCTGCAGTGGCGTGGCTTCAAAGACCCTTGTCGTGAAGCTATCATTTGTCCGATACGACCAACCAAGGATGAGCATGTGTTAGGTCTGCTCTTACTCGGGCTTAACCCTCGCCGTCCATACGATAATGACTACCAACAGTACATTTCTTTACTCGGTCAGAAACTAACTACGTCCCTGGCGTCGACCGTCCTCCTAGAGGAAGAAGCACGAAGAGGCCGTAACATGGCGGAACAGGCCGCGTATGACCAGGCCATGCTCGCAATGCAGACAAGAGAGGCTACGGAATCCGTCCAAAAGTTTCAACAAATTGCCGAATTTATTCCCGTGGGGATGTGCTTCGGTAATTATCGTGGAAACATCACGTTTGCCAATGACGCCTGGCACCGCATCACTGGCGCCCCTCAAGTAAATCCGCTGACGCCCGAGGGGTTTTTATCCTGCGTTATTGAGGAAGACAAGCCCAATGTGCAGCGAGCATACGAAGAACTTCAAAGAACTCTCACTGTAACCATCGAATTGAGAGTTCGGCGGCCTGTAGAGGATAGTTATCCTCTCCAGCACCCCATCGGAAGCTCTCCTAGCTTTGAGAAAGCCGGCCTGGACCTCAATGCAGAGGACGGGGGCGTGCGGCACGTTCTAGCCTCCCTCAAAGCTGAGCGGGGCCCTAGTGGTAACATTAACCAAGTCCTAGCATGCCTGACAGATGTGACTTTACATAAAAAGGCCGCGGAGGAAGCAATTCGCAAAGCCCAACAAGCAGAGAATCTCAAACGGTAAGTATCAATGTTAAAATATCAATAGGACCGCCTTCTGAGAAATAGCTCATCACCCAACTCTCACCAAGTCTGAAACACCCAAGCAATCAAAAGATCACATGCTAACGCTAGATGCTGTAGAATGGCACAGCTTGCTACGGTGGGGATGTATGACATGACCCTCGACGGTCGTTTGATCGGCGCCAACAATGTATTCTACGAAATGTGCGGTTTGGAGAGAGTAGACCTCTCCCAAGTATCGGTAAAGCCGTTTGAATTTTGCGTTGTCGATGAAGATATGCCTATCCTGAAGAAGACGCTCGCTACCCTTGTGAAAGAAGGCAAATCACAAACTGCCGAGCTTCGGCTAAAAACGCTCTGGACTGAAACAGATACTACTGGCGAACAGATTACCGCACCACGTTGGGTCCTCGCTACCTTTATGCCGGTGAGCAATTCGGAGGGGTCTATCCAGACCTTTACGGGCTGTCTGAGTGATGTCTCGTTGCAAAAGTGGCAGTTTGAAAAGGAGCGTCAACGGAAAGACGAGGCGATCGAGTCGAAGCGCCAGCAAGAGAATTTTATCGACATGACTTCGCACGAGATGCGTAACCCTCTAAGTGCCATCGTTCAATGTGCCGATGCAGTTATCGGGTGCCTTACCAAAGCCCAAGAACTGATCGATTCAATATCTGTGAAGCCTAGCCAAAATGGCGCGTTGGACAATCCCACAGTTGAGACTCCCGGCCGCGTCCGACAGGAAGGCTCGCAATTGGTAAAAGACAGTATAGATAATGCAGAGACGATAATAGCTTGTGCTCAACATCAAAAACGTATTGTCGATGACATCTTGACAATGTCGAAGCTGGACTCGAATCTCTTGTCTATTACTCCAATCACGGTAAACCCTATCCATATTGCGCAAGAAGCCTTTAAAATGTTTGAGGTGGAAGCTCGTAGGGTCGATATTGATTTGACTATGGTAGTTGACCGATCCTACACCGATCTCAACATCCAGTTTCTCGATCTGGACCCTTCTAGACTGAAACAGGTTCTCATTAATCTCCTCACAAACGCCCTAAAATTCACCAAGAACGGCCCGACGAGGAACGTGTCAATTACTATGAGCGCATCCAAGACCCGCCCCGAAGATCGCGCCTCTTCCGTTCAATTTATCCCACGTGCACCGGATACGCTGTGGCAAGGTGATAGGCCATCCTCGCCAGTACCCGAGGAGAACAGGATTTATCTTATGTTCGAAGTCAAGGATACAGGGCAAGGGCTCACTGAAGAAGAGAAATCTTCTTTATTCCAGCGCTTCGTCCAGGCCAATTCAAAAACCCACGTGAAATACGGAGGTTCGGGGCTCGGGCTCTTTATTAGCCGCAGGCTCACGGAGATGCAGAATGGAGCTATCGGAGTAGCATCTAGTCCGGGCCAGGGTTCAACCTTTGCATTCTACATTGAGGCCCAGGTGCCTGGTGAAGAGGCATCTAGAGAGGCTCGAGCAGCTGCGGAGGCTGTTGGTCACATCCTAAAGACAACAAGTAGCAACATTGCTAAAGGTCCGAATAGGGGGTCGTTTACTATGGCAAAGCCAGGAAAGAGGTTGCTGGGACCACAGATCGAAGGTGTTCTTTTAGTCGAGGATAACCTGATCAACCAACAAATCACCCGCCGTGATCTCCAGAATAGTGGGTGTTCCGTCGAAGTAGCCAATCACGGAGTAGAGGCGCTGGAAAAGCTTCAACATACGAACCGTGCTGGTGGGCAGTTTCCACTTAGCCTTATCTTAATGGACATCGAGATGCCCGTACAAGACGGTCTCACCTGCACGCGCAAAATTAGAGAGCTAGAGAAAACGGGTTATTTCAAGGGGCCCCGAATACCTATTATTGCGGTCAGTGCTAACGCACGCATGGAACAAATACTTGAGGCCAAGGCCGCCGGATGTGACGACGTATTGGTAAAACCGTTCCGGATTCCCGAATTGATCGAGAAGATGATGACCGTGACAAAGCAGCTCGAAAAGCTCGGGTGAACTTGGTCCCGAATACACTTCCTAGCACTGATTTACTGTCGTTGCTGTCGGTATTGCTTACCTCCACCTTACTTACACTGGCTAGTTCGGACACGGCCGAGTTAAACGGGTCCTCTCTTCTCTTTGACCCCATTTCCCTTTTCCGTCTCATAGATTTACATGTGCCGTATTGTCTATACTGAACTGGTTTGTGTTTATTTGTTTTGCATTTTTATCACTGGACGGATAGCGTCAGCATGATACCACGGGAACAATAGCGACTCAGAAGACAGGTATGGGTTTTGGAGTTTTGGGTATTTGTAGTTCATTATTATCAAGACTGTCGGATATGTAGCTGCTCATGACAGGTATGTACGATGAATAGCTACTGATAAAGCTGGCCGGCTCGCTCTCCGATGCGTCTATTTGTCGTATGGATTGATGAATTCATCACGTAGGACATGGTCGAGGAAATATCTGGACCGTTGCGCAGGGATGAGGTACGTGGGAATTGAACATAAGCTTTCCGCCATGACGCCTATCTGAATTTTTTGCTGGCCTCAAAGAAGCTCATCCCCTCCTTGATGGCCTCTGCCATCTTGTCGTCTGCTTCGACCTGCTTTTTCATTAGCGGCAGGGTTTGCTCGGCCAAGTTAGCAGGTAAGACGACAACGCCGTTTAAGTCGGCAATTAGGTAATCACCCGGCCGAATATTCATGTCTTGCTCGTCTGTTTGCAGCTTTACGGGCACATTGATGGCGGCTACCTTGAGTAACTCAGCTGGAGGTGCCGTCCCTGTTCCCCGGGCAAAGATCTATTATTCTTAATCATCGGAAAACATCTGAGGGGGATGGGATGAGGGGGTACGTGGGGAAGAGGGAGGCAGATAATCATGTACTCGAGAGAAAATCGTACCGGATATTGTAATTCTCGCTGCTCTTGCAAGTCACGGAAGCGTCCGTCGATGATGGACCCAACCGCGCCCCTAAATAGGGCTCGGGCGGACATCAAGCCGCCGTAGACGGCATTCGGAATTTTAGGAGGGCAAGAAACAAAAATCACGGCACCTTTAGGGACAGTATCGATCTCCAAGCGATAGATTGTTAGCACCTCTCCCGCCGCTATGCAGGTTTTCAACGTACGTAGTGGGTTGGATGCTTAGGCGACGGATCGTCTAATGGCACGTACTTAACAATGTAGGCTGGGCCGACGATCTTGGTGGGACCGTCCTGGCGCTGAGGAGACCACATGGTCAAGCCGGACAAAAACCCGCCATTACGGTAATTGAGCTTGCACAGGGCATCAGAGACGTCGCAGCTGGAATTTGGAAATTAGCCAGGTTACGGCGCTCATGCTGCTTTCCCCTTACGTTGTGTACTTCTGCAACTCTCTAACAATAGCATCTTGAGATTCCGCCATATTACCGAAGTGCCGAGCTTGGCCAAACATTGCACGTTGTCCAGCTGCTTTTCCCAGCTGTACGCGCAGTGCAGGCAACATAAGACGGTTTCTTTTGTTTTTGTTTTTTTTGTTTTTTTTCTCTCTTTCTTAATTGCTTTCGGGTATTATTTTGTTGGAGGACAACAAAAAGAACAGTTATATAGGTAGGTTACTTAGGATTGATTAAAATAGTAGGTAGTAGGTACATCTGATCTCAGCTTACTACTCGCTTATCTCGAGGACAAATAAATACCTAACCTATTACCTAATCTACCGGCATAAGATGCAATTACCTATACTGTGTACTACATAGTGGTAAAGTATCACCTGCTTTAGGTAGGTAGCTACGTCATATAAGACGGGATAAATTTATTCTCCCCTCTGTCGCATATTATTCACTAGTTTTTTCTCTCTTATGCATACCTACCTATGTATATATATATCCCTGCAAAATCACAAATGATAGCCTGACCGGGACCGAAACTTCAAGTCCTTTAAATTAAGAGGGATCCGCAACGGTTTGCCGCGGCGCTACTTTCGTTTACTCCTCAGTAATGGGAACGTTTACTAGGCAATCCCTGTTCTCTTAGCGAATTTATTGGAGATAAATATATGCATATATACCTATATATGTATATAACTACTGTGTTAGTATTAAGGACTCATCGGTATGAGTTCCGTGTCATGGCCATGACGCCTACCACAGCGATACCAATCATGATATTGATGTCGCTCGTGAAAGCCGATGCGTACCTAACACCAGCCAAAAGGCAGCCTCGTATTTCTCATACGCCTCATACGACTCTATCGATTAATATCAGCTGAGACCTATACAGAGCGCACATGGAAGTTGGCATCAGATAGATACGAAGATGTAACCGGTGCAAAATGTACATCTAACGCAACGCCTACTAACCCACCCATCAAGCTGGGCTTTGGTGACAAGGGAAGTAGAGACTATAGATGTATCCAGGGCCGAAAATAGAAGTCCGACAAAGTTGTCTAATAGCGCTGTTAGCCCAGTACGGTTATAGGCCAAAATAGATTATTGCTCCTCACGTTATAATCAGAGCTACCTGACGCCAACCACGAACTACATGACGATACGGCATCGTAGTGGCCAAGGACTGACCAACTGAAAATCAGCTAAAGCAAATCTAAGACCGAGAGAAGAGTAGAGCCTTGATAGTGTTGCGTTGGAAGCGCTCTAGGCAACTTTTAACATAAGCCCAATCCACCCTTACATGGACGGAGGCTCTTATTCTAGGTAAATTAGGCATTCTCGAGTGCACCTGGAGACTTTAAATAAAAGCACCTCGTACTTGCCACATAGGTGATGCCTAATGATTACATATTAATTTTTATGCTTCTTGCTTCCTATACTCTCGGATGAGACTACTTGGGTAGGTAGGTATATAATAGCGGCTAGCTATATGAATACGACTCAGCCTTAGGTGGGGATCCGAAGTCAGACACCAGAATAAGACCTGTAAGGGCCCGAGTCAACATAGGTACCTATCCTTTCACGATTATTACAGCGACAGTAAGAAACACGGACTCCCGATGCCAGATCTCGCCTGGCTTTGATTTGATGTGACCCCCGTTTGTACAACCTTTGCAACGTCCTACTCATCAATAAGAGACTATCGCACCTGAAAAAGCCTTGTTCAACCACTTATATCTTAATTGTCATAATTTAATCGGTGGCCTAAAGCGTGGAATGCGCTATTCACGTAGTCGTGGCATGTCAACCATAGGTTAGGTATTTAAATCATGGTTAAATGGTGGGATTCACGACGTCAAATTTACCTAAACTAGAGCCGCAACGTATTCTGTGTTCGTGAAGTTTGATAGGGCCGGCTTCACAACATACATCCAATTAGCCATAGCCCTAGTCCGACCTTTTGACATATCACATGATAATATAAGCCTCCCCCTTAGATGCCTGGCTGACTCCTACGAGTTCATTTAGTCACATCTGATCCCTGGCTCAATCTTGTACCACTCAGAACTGAAAGAGCAAATAACTTCAAGGGATGATGTTCAAATAGGTACGGGATTTGTTACATGGGGCAGTTACCGGGTACATGGATTCAATTTCTGGGGGTCTCCAGAGGGGGTGAGATTCCAATCAAGCTAGCCTCTCTCTCCTTTAAATTGCGGATGAAAAGAAATATAGTTGGCTGACACTTGAGGACATAGATTTAGCTTAGAAATACTGATCCAGTCCGTGCTTTTCATTGCTGGAATAGGGAATCAAGGTATTGCCGTATAGCTAGCTCACCTCCAATGCCATGAGTGTAGTATGTATAGTTGTTTTTGGTAACCGGCCTGTGATTTAAGTCGACTCTCTAGGAGTTGACTTTTGTGTTGGCGCTAACATAGTTGGCACGATGCAAGAGCCCAAGTTAATAAACTATTGCTTGATGCTTGTTCCGTGGCTTTACTTTTATTTTTATTTTTATTTTGACTTTTACTTTTTCTCTTTGTTTCTTTGTCTATTTTCCCGCCATATAAAGTATCTAGTATGTCTATATATATATAGGTATATATATACCTATCTATTTTAGTAGGTAGTCTCAGATAGCATGTAATCAAGATGTTGGCCCTAACCATTACACAGGCATTCTCTTCCAATTTGTGGGATATTGAACTGTCATAACAGGTACCCAAGCTAGATACCTACCTAGGTATCTACCTAAGGTAGGTATAGGTAGTTGGGAATACCGGGCTGACTGCCTCTGTGACTAGGTAGGTAGGTAACTATATACTTATGTACCCGTCCATTATTTTACGACTCTCCGAGTTTTATTGCAGCTGGGATATCTACGTATACTCCAACCCGACTAGAGCACTCATTTTTATGTTCTTAGTTAGCTGGAATCTGGGGAACTAGTTGACGATTTTATGAATAACTAAAGTCATATTTAGTGAAGTTCGTAGTATAAACAGACAGGTGGCAAGGCTCAGCCTTTTAGATTCTACGGGGGAAAAGAAAAGAAAAGTAAAGTAAAGAAAAGAAACCTTGTAGCACTTGTCGTTACTATTAACGTATATTTAGAAATATGCTCGTCGTATTTTGAATTCCTAGGGTGGTGATTACCTGGTGTACCTATAGAATCAATCCGATGTTACACGCCTCTTTACCTTCTACGACCTATCTAGCGTGGATGCCGGCGTCTGATAGATCCCCTCGTATGGGTTTTTCTTCAGTGGCGCAGTCACAATACAATCATGCACATTAGTTGTGCTTACTGCAGGGAGTTAAGCCACCGTCAACGTTATGTTTTGTGTTGTATATCTAGTAAAATTAAACTTGCTACAATCTTCTAGCTTTAGTCAAAGCACATATTTTAAAAATACATCTACCAAAGTAAATATGGATATATTTATTATTATAGGTATATCTACATTGTTGAGTAGACTAATGGCGTGTTAAACTGATATTACGTATATGTATATCTACCTACCTAGGTAGTTTCTTCCACCTTGCAGATGACTACCTAACGTACAACGAAATTGTTGGTTCTATTTTGGCAAGGTGACTTTTTAGAGACGTACTTTAGGTCAGCTCATGGCCGACTAGGACAGGACATATGACAATAATTCGGAGTCAGCGGATCCTTATTGCGATATATCTACTTTCCTTACCTAAAATTAGATAGGTACCTACCTACTTTACGTGCATCTAGTTCAACTGAAGGGGAAGGTGTAGGTGTAGGTGTTTGTTTGTAGGTTTTTTTTTAATAAAAAAAGGAAGAAGAAAAAAAGGGAAGGAACGGGATATAGGATACTCGACAGGAATGCATAACTTTAACATTATCTAGGTAAGTGCTTTCTTTCTACTTGATAACCTACGGAAAGAATTAGCCTGACTTACGGGGCGCAGGAGTTCACAAAGTACTTGGGAATCGAAACATTCCCCCTTTTATCCAAAGCCCTACGAATCCAGCTCACCAGATGAACAGCCACCCTCGACTGCAAAGGCCAAACCATTGCCCTTTGGTATGGTACGAAGATAAATAACCTGGCATATCCTTACCAAGCTCTTCAACAAGTTAGAGCTGTAATATCTTCTCCACCTCCGCTCTATCATTCAAACCTCGGCTCCTATTTTTCGTTCCTTTTCCATACCCATATCGGGCTGAGTCCCGTTGTTATTTACGTATTAAATAGCCTACCTAAACACCTGCGTCTTCCATAACCTGCACCGTAAGACTGACTGAGTCTATACCACGATACGCCCCTTTTGGTACTAATCCCAGGTTCTTGACACTCAGTGATGGCTGGCCTAACCCATGATGCAATGGAACCCATTGCTGTGGTAGGCATTGGCTGCCGTTTCCCTGGAAGTGCCACATCTCCCTCAGAACTATGGCAGATGCTCCGCCGTGGGGATAGTGCTTGGTCTGAGATCCCCAAGGACCGTCTCAACGTCTCCAGTTACTTCCACCCAAGTGGGAACCGACAAGGCAGTGTATAAGTCCCCCCATAACTCCATTTTTTTTTAAATAGTGGCTGAAACCTTCTGTCCAGATTCCGTTCACAGCGGGCCATTTCCTGGTACAAGATGTGGGGGCATTTGACAGCTCGGTAAGCGTTGGTTTATATGACTTGAAGGGGTAACGTGTTAATATTTGTACTTAGTTCTTTTCCATCCCAGCGGACGAAGCCAAGGCGATAGACCCGCAACAGAGAATGCTCCTCGAGGTTGCTGTTGAAGCTCTTGACAGTGGTATGTACGGCCGTGTATTTTGTTATACATTTCATTTCTCTAACGCAAGGCCCTAGCTGGAATTGACCGTACAGCCCTCAAAAAAAGCGATACAGGAGTTTGGGTTGGCTCCTTTGTAAAAGGTATGTACCTTAGGTACCTGTATCTAAGGCATGAGATAACCATAACCTACCTGTCTTCCTGATGTATTGCCTTAACTAACTAACTATTGCAGATTACGAGCAGATTGTCCTGCGGGACCCCGATAATTCGCCCAAGTATGGCGCGACAGGTAATGGAATAGCGATAATGTCTAATCGCATTTCCTTCTTCTTGGATGTCAATGGCCCGAGTATGACCATCGACACAGGATGCAGTGCTAGCTTGGTCTGTGTTCACAATGCTTGTCAAAGCCTTCGCGATGGGGAAATCGACGTTGTAAGTTCCTATAGCCGTGACGTGCTGCCCATGACAAGCCACCCGCTTCCACCCCAAATATAGTCACATATTATCGGGAGCGCCCGTATACTACAAACGACATGCTTACTATATTAGGGACTCGCCGGCGGTGCAGGCTTGATCTTGACGCCTAACACTATGATGCCTATGACGGCACTGAACTTCCTGAGCCCAGATGGAAAATGCTATACATTTGATGCGCGTGCTAACGGGTACGGTCGTGGGGAAGGAATTGGTATCGTCGTTATGAAACGTCTCTCAGATGCCATACGAGATAACGACAATATCCGCGCTGTAATCCGAGGCTCAAATGTCAATCAAGACGGGCGTACACCTGGTACATATACAGTGAGGACATTTACTAAAGACATTGCTAACTTCACCTCAAGGCATTACTCTACCTAGCGCCGAGGCTCAACTTCGTAATATCAGAACCGTCTACAAGAGGGCCGGGCTTCTTGTAGATGACACGGCCTATGTCGAATGTCACGGCACTGGCACACAAGCCGGCGACTGGAGAGAATTGAAAGCTATATCGGATGCGTTCTGCCCAGAGCGTAACTCGGCTGACCCTCTATATGTCGGCTCGGTCAAGACAAACATTGGTCATCTCGAAGGATGCGCCGGGATTGCTGGGTTAGTTAAAGGAATTCTTACCATTGAAAATGGAATGATCCCGAAGCACCTCAACTTTGAGGCGCCTGGGAATCCAGCTATTGACTTTAACGGCTGGAAAGTCAAGGTAAGAAAACATATCAACATCCTCATTTGTCCTTTACTGATACCATACCAGGTCCCAATTGACAATACGCCCTGGCCGACTGAAGGATTAAGGCGTGCGAGTGTTAACTGCTTTGGTTTTGGTGGAACGTAAGTAGCCTCCAATACACTTGTTGATATCAGCCCACCCAGCTTTAGGCGCTTCTACCCCCAGGGCCAAGAGCTTGCCGATATAATCACCCCGGGGTTACCTACTCTTTGAAAAAACTTATGCGTTGATATCGCCCCCTAATGGAAAACTGACCGCTGTCCTAGGAACGCACATGTCATCATCGACGACGCTGCTCACTACCTAGCTCAAAGGGGGCTCTCAGCACACCATAACACCACGCTTGATGGCACCCGGAACTTTTCAAATCTCAGTACCACGACGCACGAGTGGGTTAGGTCAGTACAGGGATTGCCCATTCCTACCCGCGATTCGAAAACGCATCTTTTTATATTTTCAGCGCATGAGCAGAAGGTATTATCCCAAATGCTTAAAGACTATGCGTCTTACGCTCAAGGGCAACTTGAACCCTTACCCGGAAATATTATGGAAGATCTTGCATACAGTCTCGGTTGTCGTCGGACACAATTGCAATGGAGGGCATCAGTTGTTGCGCGATCGCCCGAAGAGCTGATTCAGAAACTAGTTGAACTGCCAGCGAATGATCTCGTTAGGGCGTCGGAGGATAAAAGCTCTACCAAATCAGCCTTTGTGTTTGGCGGCCAAGGAGCACAATGGTTTGCCATGGGAAGAGAGCTTCTTGGATTTGATGCCTTTTTGCAATCAATCGAGGACGCAAGCTCGTATCTGCAAACCCACCTGGACGCCCCCTTCAGCCTTCTTGCTGAGCTTCTCAAGGATGAAAGCCGCTCCTTGATCAACAAACCCGAGATTTCTCAACCAGCAACCACGGCAATACAGGTGGCTCTTGTAGACTTGCTGACGAAGTACTTTGGAGTCACCCCAAACTACGTTTGCGGCCATTCTTCTGGAGAAATTGCGGCAGCCTACGCCCTGGGGGCACTCTCACGGGAGGACGCCTGGGAATTAGCTTTTCATCGGGGACGATGTGCTGGAGCCATGTTGGCTTTGCAAGACCAACCGCCCTCCAAGGGTAGTATGCTTGCAGTGGGTCTGCCATCTTCTGAAGCACATAAGTATGTGGACGTAGTTGGCAACGATAAAGTGGTTGTAGCTTGCATCAACAGTCCAGTTTCTGTGACGTTGTCTGGCGATGAGGGTGCAATCCAAGAGCTCCAGAGGGCTTTACAAGCTGCAGGTGTCTTCAATAGGCTTCTCATTGTAGATATTGCATACCACTCGCACCATATGAAGCGTTGCGAAGATGCGTATCTCAAATCAATTACGCACATTAAGCCGAAGAAGCCGAGAAGAGGGATGATATCGCACCCTCACATCCGAGGAGGACTCGTTAAGCCGGAGGACATCCGGGTAGGTACTACCTCCATAGCGCTTAGCAACGAGGCCCCTGTCATGTATTCATCCGTTACTGGACATGTCATCAGCTGGGAGGACCTGTCTCCAGAATACTGGGTCAGGAATATGGCGTCTCCTGTCCTTTTTGCCGACGCTATGCATTCCATGATGAGCGTTAAAAATAGCGAGAAACCAAGCTTCATACTGGAGGTTGGACCACATTCATCGCTCCAAGGCCCAATAAGACAGATCCTCGACGCTGAGGAAAAGCTTAGGCAACGACCGGTTTATTCATCTTTGCTCCGCAGGGGTAGAGACGCGACCGTGACATTGCTGGAAGCCACTGGGAAGTTATGGGGCAATGGATTTGAGATAGTTATGCCCTGGGTAGTCATGAGGAATGTTCAGACTGAACGGCCCAGACTCCTTGTCGATTTGCCAAAGTATCCTTGGAATCGTGACAAAGTTTATTGGCACGAGTCACACCTGTCGCTGGCCAACCGCTTTCAGGTTCATGGCAGATATGATCTTATCGGGCGACCAACGGCTGATTCAATTCCGTTTCAACCCCGATGGCGTGGCTTCTTTCGCGTATCGGAGAACCCGTGGCTTCTGGATCACCAAGTACAAAAAACCATTATTTATCCAGCAGCCGGTATGGCTACTATGGTACTTGAAGCTGCTAAGCAGCTGGCCTCGGAACATGCTTCAGGCTTCCAAATCAGCGAGTTCAAAATTCAGAAGGCAATGATCATTCCAAATACTGAACATGGGTTAGAATATGCTCTGAACCTTAACCAGAGGGCAAGCCAAATGGCTGTAGCTCCCATCGGGAATGTGGAATCCCCCTCGTTGGTCAGGCCTTCGCTCTCCTTTGAGTTTTCTGTATATTCCAAACCATTAGACAAGCCTTGGGAGGAGCACGGTAACGGGTACATAACGATTCATTACCACGAATCCTCAAAAGAGACGAACAACAGGTATTACCAGGCATACCTCAATGCAAAGAAGGAGTGCGACAATCCAGTCAACCCGAGGCAGCTTTATGAGAGCCTAGATGTTATTGGCATGAACTATGGTCGGCTGTTTCAGAATATCGAATCTCTTCATAAGCGGGATGGCGTTTGTGTCGGTACCATTCGTATTCCAGACACAAAATATGTCATGCCCGCGAATTTTGAATATCCGCACATCATTCACCCAACCACACTAGACTCGGTGTTCCAAACAGCCTTGGGTTTTGAAAACGGCCCAATGGTCCCCTCCTTCATTGGGAGTCTTTATATATCAGCCAATTCCCCGATGCTCTCAGGGGCTGACAAGCAACTTGTTGCGTACACCTATGCAAAATCCAATGGACGACTTGGCGCAACCGCGTCCTTCGCTGTCTCGGACCAGTCTTGGTTGGGCAATTCTGGTGGTAATCCACTGATGATCATTGAGGACATGGCTTTTACCGCCTTGAATCCAAGCACGACGAAAGAGCTCAGTTTCCTTCCGAATCACCGTAGTCTCTGTTCTGAGATTATATGGGAGGAAATTGATATTTTGGTCAATCCCAACGAACCACATACTAAATTGAACGATAATTTACTCATCCTTATTCCAATGGATACTAGCCCCGATATCAATGCGCTCCAAGCTGAACTGGTTCGAAAGTTGAACTGTCAGTTCCGAACGTTAGGCAGCATCAAGGAGAACGAGATACTTCCAAGACACTGCATCTCTCTCTTGGAAGCAGATGGCCAAGCGCTATTTTGGAACTGGACAGAGCAGGAGTTCCTTGCATTTCAGAATGTGATTTCTGCTGTGAAGGGTATTTTCTGGATTACCCGTGGCTCACAGCTCGAGGCCAGGAACCCGCAAGCCTCTTTGGCCCAGGCATTAGGACGAACTATACAATCCGAGTACCCCAAGAAGAAGCTGGTCACATTCGACATTAGCATCGACCTTAGCTTTGCCTCGTCCATGATCGCACCGTTTGTTCAAACAGTCTTGAGTTTGGTTGCGCGATCTTTCTTTGGACCTAAAGTTGCAGGGCCAATCGAAACCGAATATATCGAGCGTAATGGACGGATTATGGTTCCAAGGCTGGCCACCGTGGACTCGCTGAACTCCATGATTGAGCGCGGCTCCGCACCAGCAGAGCCAGACCATCACACTATGCCCGATCCGCATGAAAGACCGCTTAAGCTTAAGATTGGGCAGGTGGGCGACATAGGAAGTTTGTACTGGAGCGACGACCTTGATGCCAATCTCCCTCTGCCTCCGGACAGCGTAAGAGTCCGAGTGATTATGGCCGCGTTGGACAATCTTGACCTTGAAATCATGTATGGTCACGTAGATAAAGGCGACCTAGGCACGGATATGTATGGCGTAGTCGACCGAACTGGAGAGGATGTTACAAGCGTTGTTCCAGGCGACTGTGTCGTGGGGATTGCCCGAGGATCTTTACGAGACTTTGTCACATGCCATCATCGACTCCTGTACAAGGTGCCAAGCAACCAGCCCAAATTTTACCGTTTCTATTTACCAACAAGCTTCGCTGTTGCTGGATATGCGCTAGGTAAGCTCAAGGCCGGGGATACGATCCTAATCCATGCTGGCGTGGGAACATTTGGCCAAACTGCGATCCAGCTTGCTAAATCTGCTGGAGCTGTGGTGTTCGCCAGTGGGGAGACTGGCCAGGAGCGTGATACTCTGAGAAACGTCTGGGGACTTCCGGAGGACAATATCCTTGATGCTGGGACAGAAGCTTTTGTTGATACAGTACTATGCTTGACGGACAACCAGGGTGTAGATGTGATCTACGACCCAGTTGCGCGAAGCCGAGATTCAAATATTAGATGCATCAAAGAAGGCGAGTCCTTGCAGAAAGACAGGCAGAAAAGGGGTTTATTCGCTAACTGTTCTCATAGGTGGTCGTGTGATCAATTTCGCCAACAAACCTAGCCGTAAGGATATGACGACGTGCGAAACTGACGTTACTGGCAAGACATTTAGCTGTACAATCATCAATGTACCACATCTCGTCGAATACAAACCCGGTCACCTTGGTGATGCTTTGGCATCAATTTATCCCAAGCTTCTTTCCTGGCAGTCTGGGATTTGGAATCGAGACCTGCAGGATGTATACGACTACTCTGATCTGGCGGCTGCCTTTACAGCGCTGAACTCAGACACAATAGGTGCCAGCATTTATTGTCAGCGCCCTAAATCGAAACCTGTTCCAATTCTCCCCCGAGCCCCCCCGCCTACGAGTTCCTGCATTCATGGAAATGCTACTTATGTCCTGTCCGGTGGTCTCGGTGGCCTCGGTATAGAGGTTGCGAAGTTGTTGGTGGCAAATGGCGCTAAGAATATTGTATTCCTAGGACGATCCGGCGCGACAAATGAGTCGGCTAAATCCTGCATCAACTTTCTCCGTAAGAAGCAGGTCAACGTAGAAATTTTCAAGGTAGACATCTGCAATGTCGATGCGGTTGACAGGATTGGGACTAAGATTCGGGAATCGATGCCTCCAGTAAAGGGGGTATTCCAATGTGCTGCTGTGCTGCGCGACTCTGTCTTCGAAAATATGACCTACGAAGACTGGCAATTGGCTACAAAGCCTAAGACAGTCGGCTCATGGAACCTTCACCAGACATTTGGAAATGACCTAGACTTTTTTGTCTTCTTGTCTAGCTCTGCTGGCGTTATCGGGAATCGCGGACAAGCAAACTACGCAGCAGGCAATGCGTTCCAGGACGCGCTCGCCAGGCACATCAAGACAATGAGCGAGGGGAAAGTGAACGCAGTATCAATTGACCTAGGCCCAGTCCTTGAGGCAGGGATGCTCGCAGACGACCCCCAGACACTGGATAAGCTCAAAGCTAGCGGATTCTTTGGAATTAGACTCCAAGATATTAAGCGCATCGTCGAACGAGCTATCACAGGCTACATGGAAGATGGCCGAAAGATACCGATACAAGTTGTTACAGGAGTTGGGACTGGCGGATTGATTCTGCAAAACAAGCCGGCCGACCCTTACTGGACACGCTCGGCCATTTTCACACGTCTTAACCAGGTGGACATGCCAAAAAGTTCGGAAGAGAATTCGGAAGAAGCGTCAGGCTCGCGGGAGGTGATGCAGAGACTATTAGCGCAGGCAACAGATGCAAAGGAAGCACGGTGTATTGTTAGCGAATGTCTTAGGGAGATGCTCTCAAGAAGTATGAATATGGACTCTGCAGATGTGGATGAGTCCAGGCCTCCCAGCGCCTATGGTGTAGACTCGCTGGTAGCAGTTGGAGTCCGCAACTGGGTGTCTCGAGAGTGCGAGGCAGACGTGAGCATCTTTGAGGTGCTTAGCGAGACTAGTATCAGTGATCTTAGCGCCATAATTGTACAACGACGAGAGAAAGAATGAAGGAGGCGGAACGAAGGCGAAATGAACAACAGGTGAACAATGACGAAGGCCCACAGGAGAAGACGCAGGAGAAAGCAATGTCTATTATGTATGATGGGAGTTTTGAGTACGCGGTAGTGAATACTTGTGGGGGGGGATGGTATTGTTCTAATGTATTGATTTCTTGCTATATTAATACGGTGTAATGAATAATGATGGTAATGATGCTATTTGCATTTGTAGACGACTTTGATGGTATGCGGTAACAAATCGTGGGAATCGTGCAACTGGATGGGAATTAGAGAGAAGAAAAAAAAGGGTAAAGGTGGGGTATTTGCCTTAGGTACATACTAGTACCTAGTATGACATGGCTTGGCGGGAGATGACAGAATGGGCCCCTTCTATTTTCATGGCGTGATTGGTGGAGGATGACCCTAGTATGCGCAATCTTCTTAGCTCTACCTAGGTAGGTAGGTACCTAGATATGTACTGTATTGTGTAACTTAATCTAGTATATACTTCGGGTACATCGCACGGCAAGACGGCTACGCGCATCGGAAGTATCAGTCTGCATATAATACCTAGTGTTAATAATGTTACATCCATTATGACCTGGGGCCTGGCTCCCTGGGGCACGCAAAGGAAAGCACCCCTAATGTTGTACATAGTATGTATTTGGCCAAGACTTCCAAGCTCTTCGCTTATGGGGATTATGGCCTTCCTATTGGACTTTCGAACAGACCTTCTCACTTAAGTGGGCGTAATACTACTTTATTAAACATCAGTCCGATTTTTAAGTCTGATTAAGTCTCATTACGAAGTACGCTAGTTAGAAAATAATAATAATAATAACAATAATAATAATAAATAATAAAAGGAACTACGGATTACCTATAGGTGATGTGAATTCGCTTGGCGGCTCGTGAGGAACAACTCACGATGAGCCGCGTTAATTCATCCACCTCTTTCTTTTTGTTTTTATTATATCTGACCATTCCTCATCACCTATTCTAATTTTCTCTTCGGGTCTATTCTACTCGTGCCTATCAATAGTCCTATCAATAATGGAGACATAGAGCTATAGGGGCGTATAGAGAGAGGGAGAAAGAGAGAGAGAGAGAGAGCGTGTGAGAGAGATAGGGACGAGCCTGAGTCTCTTTCTTGTTTTCCTCGCTCGACGTTTAAATGCTAGCTGGATAGGATATCACTCTATCATTCTACTCTACTACATGGCACACACTCACTCAAACATACTTACCATGGTGCATATATGATTGCGTATGCAAATACTCGTACCGGCCTATCAGATATCAATTCACCCCTTCTTCTCTTTACTCCTACCTCTGGGTCTATTTTGTCAACTGGTCGATTTGTTAACCACCACTAAATTGGCACCAATTGACCGCATTGCCGGCGCGTGGCGACGAATCATCAAACTAGGCCCCCGGCTAGCTTCCAGGCTTCTAACCTTCCCGACATTCTAACCTAGTGCAGGCCAGCCTGGTGGATCGTACCCCTAGCACTGAGTTGCCTGGATCTACCTGATCTACTTGAATCTGCCTACCTTTCTGCTTCATCAATATCTTCTCTCTAGCTTTTCTTGCTCCCGATTCCTTCTCCCTTCTCCCTCCTCAAGCCGGCGTTTCCTTCGTTTCGAGTATTTTTTTTTTCTTACTCGTTCGCCATGAGGTCCCTTTCACTTATCGCTACCGTCTCCGTAGCGGTTATTACGGCGGCGGCGGCGGCGGCGGCGGCTGCCGATACTAATTCCCAGAAAGTCATCCCCGTCAGCTTTGGCAGATCAACCACTAAGCAGCCTGCTCTTCGTAGACGCGTTGGCACTTATTCACAAGAGCTGAACAACAACTTGACTGGTGGCGGTTACTACGCTCAAGTTACCGTGGGAACTCCACCCCAAACTGTTGACTTAGTTGTCGATACCGGGAGTAGCGACGTCTGGATATTAGATAGCCGCGCGGACCTCTGCGGGTCTAAAAAAAAGCAGAATTACTACAGATATTGTCTGTCGACGTACGATCCTTCTAAGAGCTCGACCTACTCCGTTGTTTCTCGGAATGACTTCAGCATCCGCTATGTCGACGGTTCAGGGGCTGAGGGCGACTATATTCGGGATACCTTCAGCATCGGCGGTGCCAATATTGAGCATTTGCAGATGGGCCTTGCCGAGAATTCCACCATCAACTCTGGACTCTTAGGTATAGGGTTTGCTGCCAATGTTGCTGCTCTGACGCCGTATCCAAACATTATGAATTTGTTCCAAGATCAAGATCTGATCGCCATTCAAGCTTATAGCTTGTATTTAGTATGCAACCCCCTCCCTCCCCCTTTTCCTCTTCCCTTAATTTCCAAGTATTTCAATAGTTTTCTCCGGACAGGTCAAGAAACCCCCCGTGTTTGACTAATTTGTTACCGTAGGATGATTTATACGCCGAGACTGGAACAATCTTATTTGGTGGTTTGGATACCCAGAAGTTCATTGGAAAGCTTAAAACCGTCGACATTGAACCTGATCGGTCCGGCAATTATTCATCCTTCACTGTCACACTGTCGTCTTTGACCACGACCGCCGATAATGGCACTGTGACTAACTACACCCGATCTGTTGTCCCGGTTATACTTGACTCAGGTACTACTTTGACCTACGTCCCCTACACCGTGGCGAACCGCATCTATCGTGCCTTCGGTGCCGTAGATGACACGTCTAGAACTGGCCTTGTCTACATCAACTGCGAGCATCTAAACAACAAGAATTTCACATTTGATTTCCAATTTGGCGGCAAGGATGGCCCTATCATCCGAGTCCCCATTGATGAAATGATTCTAGATAATGTCAAGGCATATATTGAACTGGGACTAGATGTGCCGTCTCTACCTTTCGATAATGTGTGCAGTTTTGGCCTTCAGGGGAGTGCGGAATATTATCTACTGGGTGACACGTTCCTACGTTCTGCCTACGTAGTCTATGATCTCACCAACAAGGAGATCGGACTGGCCCAGGCAAATCTTAATAGTACTGAGAGCAAAATCGTGGAGATCACCGAATCCGGTATCCCCGACGCCAGCGGGGTCGCGTCCCAGGTCAGCGCAACGCAGACAGCCACAGGAGTGCCCGGTACTCAATCGCCTACCGGGACCTCTTCAGCCACACCTGGTAGTCAGAGCAGCGAGGGAGCTAGTTCTAAAGTTGTGCCTGTGCCAAGTTGGGAGGCTCTAGTTGTAGCCTGTGTAGCAAGTCTAGGTGGCTTTATGGGTACTGGGTTGATCGTGTTATAGATTGAGGAATTAACTATCGCAGTATGGCAACACACAACTTAACCTACAAGGACGTGGTTAGGGGACAAGAAGCTGGACGAGTGTGGACCGATCGAAGTCATGATACCCAGGAGATGTATGGAAACATAAGGGTTCACATTGTATTATAGGCTTTCCTGTGTACTCTCGAACGAGTATTTTCCTGGTTTTGTCTTTTTCTGTCTCTTACCTTGGCCCTTTACAGTATTTAAGTCGATAGGGCGAACTTTTTCCGTATATAATTTTGGGCTGGGTAATGCAATATATATTAATTGATCAGAGCGCAATATGACTCCTATACTATTTGCGCAGCTGCTGATATGCCTACGTGTTAGTAAGGTATCTAAGGAACCGCTCCCTCCCCGAGCTGTCGGAAATAAGCTGAAGGATAGATGAATAGAACAGTTTACGCTAAAACCAGTAAAGCCATTTAGTGTAGAATGCTAAATATGTATACGTGCTGCTGCTAGCATCGATAAAAGTGTGGCAAGTGGTTTACTAACACAACCGTCAATATCATTTAAACGAGCTATTAATATGCTCTACCTAAAACTGCTCAAGGTTAACCTTGATACCTAAGGTAACAATACATGCCAATACACTAAGGGGAGTGTAGCGCACTAATTCATCCTCTCATACCGCTCTCGTGCTTTATCTTTGGCCTTCGAAACGAAATCTGAGTAATCACTTTTTGTAGCTCGAGCTGCTTCTTCAGCAGCGTCTCCGATCTTGCCGCCCTCAGCTCCAAGGCCCACCCCAGGAGTATAGGCCATAGTCTCGATGATAGCGGTTCGTCCACCCCCTTCGGCTCCGAGGCCTTCGCCCGTGCTCCATCCCATTTTCGCCAGTAATCCCGCCCCTTTTGACACTGCAGGTTTTGCAGGTGGTACCTCCACTGCTTGCCCTCCATCCTTGTTCGCCTGGGGGTGTTTTCGAGGAAGGTGAGGCTTTGGTTTGCTGGGCTGGTTGTGCGCCATTCGTCGCTCCTTGGCCCGATCTCGATAACTGGATACAGGTTCCTTGCCAAGTACTTTCAAGTCTGCGGTTGCCTTGGCAATTGCCGCGTCGTTGTCGAGATTGGCCTTGTGCATATCGCTTATCTGCTCATGTCGGCGGAGCGAGGGCTCACTCTTGAACTTACGTCTACAGAGTAGGCAACACATTTGATCAAGGTCAGCGTACGAAACAAAGGCTGTTGATACTGGAGCCGGAGAGTTTAGAATCGGGGGGCCAATAGCATTAGAACCAGTCACGGGAGCCCTAATTTCGACAGGTTCTGTCCTATTGCTCGACTCCTTCGGTCCGTGAAGTTCGGCATGCTTGTTTGCCCACATCTGTAGTTGAGGGGCCATCGCAATGACCTTCTTGCCATTGGGAGCGGTAAGATCCTTCTCCGCTTTCCTCTTTTTGGTATCCTTGCCCGGCGGTCGGTCGGCGTCGTCTTTGAGCTGCTCTGTATTGGATGGCTTATCCTCATATAAAGCCTCATTGAATATTATAAGCTCGTTAGCATACACCGACGGGTTCCAATATACCAGTCTCAGAGACTCGTTATGGGTTGCCGCGAAAGTGAACCGGCGATCTTCGCCTTGTATGGGGTGTAGAACGGGTATAAAGACGCCAGAATGGATGAAGGCGATAGAAACAGGCTTTGAAGCAACCGTAAACTGAGGAGAAGCATTATACTTGGCCATAGCGGCTCGAGCATCGTCTAGAGTTGAAAATTCGGCAAACCCATAATTACAACTGATATCCGAATATTTATCGCGAATCATGAAAACGCGTACCAGCGAGCCAGGCTTGGCGCCCAATCCGCTGGTATTGCCAATCGGAGCTGTACTCTTGAGTTTATTTGGAGCACTAGATGATGGCCTAGGCTCTTCTTCCTTAGTCACGTAGAGCTTCTTGATGTCATTGGCCAACGTAGTCTCGACGACAGAAGAAGCCAGTTCGCGAATGACAATGAACTGGGATGGCGTCTGCTGTGGGCATTCATCGCTTTTGCCATCAAGCTTCATGTCGGCGGTATTCTCCGCTGAGGCTAATAGTCAGTTCTGATGGGGATATGAAATTATGAAATTTCCCGTATGAACGCGACTCACATGTCCTAGGCGCTTTGCATTGTTTGCAGGTAGCTCGGCGCGAGAAGTTTTCGAAATGGCACTATCAATCCGAAGTTAGGTAATTTGGAAAGACAGAATGAATGGAGCTTTGTGACTTACCATGGTGCATTTCCAATCGTCCGGGTTAGCAATATGACGCCGCTCTCGACTATACTCAATAGGTATACGAATGGGGGAACCACGAGGGTTGGCTATCTCAAGGCCAGGGTAGTTTCTCTCGTAAAAGTCGACAGCATCATCTTCGGACCTGAACTCGGCAAACGCGTACAATCGACGGTTGCCTATTATATTTAGTAGTGGTTTATCATATTGAAAGGGTTCAAATCGTACCACTTCTGTCGTCTGATTTGATGCGGATCTCGACAAGACCAGTAGCTCCCAAATCCCGCATGGTAGAATCAATCTGGCCACAAGGTCAATATGAATGAATAGCGACATGTAAGAGGATGATTACCTCTTGCACGCTCATTCTCTCAGGTATGTCGTCCAACTTCAAGGTATGGTAGGGTCTTCCAGACCTAGGACGACGGCTATCATGGTAATGATTGTCATCGCCAGAATCGAAAGGGGAGGAAGCGCCCGAATTGGCGCGTCGGGGACTTCGATTGTAACGTCCTCGGGGATCATCGTGATCTGTATAATATCGACCGCGATCGCGGTCGTACGGGGGCGAATATTCGGATTCCCGGTCGTAGGTTTCGCCGCTAGGTTTCATGGAGCGATCCGTGTAATGATTGCGGTATTCAGGAGAGGCGTCTCGTCGGTGAGGCGAATGGTATCTTCTCCCGGCGGGAGAGCGCCGAGTGCGATAGGATTCGTCCCCTCTTGGTCCCTTTGGAGGCGTCCTTCTAGGTGATCTAGAGGATTCTTTTCCTCGCAGGGAAGTCAGCGCAAGCTCATTATTCATCTCGACAAGCTATCCTCCAGGCTATATCATTTTACCATGCCGCGAACGATAGTGGTGGTCCCTAGGAGCAGGCGATCTACGTCTGTGGTAGTCACGCTCGTCGTGAGGCCGATGATCGTAGTCGTCGTACATGTTGACGTTGACGTCGATGTTGATGTTATTTTATGCGCCCGCCAGCTTGAATATTGCGAAGCAGCGTCAGTTATGCGATGAACATGGGCGATTTACAAAACTTAATGGGCGTAATTGGTAAAGAGAGTTGAAAAATATAAGTGTAAATCCGCGGTTCCAAGTAAAGCAATACTATGTACCTAAATGGTAGAAGAGAGTTATATTACGTAAGTACCTAGGTCCCTAAACCTGATAGGTACCTCCTAGGCTACCTAGTAGGTACGTAGTACTTCTAGGTAGGTACCTACCTAACATATGTACGTCAAGAACCTGCTTTAACAAAAATAATACCTACCTTCCTAAGGCTACCTACCTCCTACCAACCTAATATCAACAATCTATACCAAAGAGTATGGACCCCGAAACAACCGAAGTCAAAGAGGATTCCTGCTACGTCGGACTCACCTACGACCATCTGAGCGTCAACAGTGTGATGAACAGAGTTCGCAGCCCTCAAGCAGGTGCAATAGTCATGTTTGCGGGTTAGTAGTGATCGCGCCGTCTTACCCTCCCGCGAGATGACCAGTATTACTTTGGTTCTTGTATCCTCATGCTCTTGTAGGCACGACCCGTGATAACTTTGGCGGAAAGCCTGTGAAGGAACTTCAGTACTCTGCTTACAACCCATTGGCATTGCGCACCATGCTGTCCATATGCAAAGAAATCCGTGCCGAGTATGGCCTCATATCAATAGCTATGGTCCATCGTCTTGGAACTGTACCCATCGGAGAGGAGAGTATTCTCATAGCAGTGTCTGCCCCGCACAGACAAGCTGCGTGGCGAGCCGGTGAACGAGCCCTTGAAGACTGCAAAGAGCGTGTTGAAGTCTGGAAAAGAGAAGAATTCGAAGGCGAAGACGGCGTTTGGAGAGCAAATAGGGACGGCGCAAAAGGGACATTCAAGTCCTAACCCGCACTTTCGCCTCCGCAGTCACTCCAACATCAAACCAAACCTAGCAACCTGACAACTTCAGGTTTCATAAAACCTAATTAAACTATAGGGCTACCCTGGATGGTGTCTTATCTCACTGTTAATTAAGGAAATGCATGCAATTCGACACTCGAGTTACACTCCGTAATCCGCAACTAAGCCTCTGAGGCCGTACGTACATATCATGTGTATGCGGTTCAGTAATAGGATATTACACACTACCCAAGGCTCCTATTTCAAGCCCTACGTTAATCATTTCTCTGGAACGGGCTTTCTCTATTAAAAAAAAACCCCTGCTCTTTGTACTGACTGAGTTTTATCGAGATTGTCGACTTCCAAGGGGGTAAATATAAGAATAAATCGTTCCATTCATTAATTAACCGGTTAAATCCTAGGTACATCGAGATGGTGTGTTCAGGGGACCACTCGTGCAGAACTCGCAATTCAATCGGCAAAGATTAACAATGCTCCATAATACCATTTATTGGGCACCTGGCGAATAATTGATAATTGACCATAGCATAGTATTTTTTTTGTTATATATTTTTTGCCGAACTTTCCGTACAGCTCCAGAGCTCTCCGAGTCCCGCTGTGGGAAACATTCTCAATAATATCAGTCGACTCGGTCCAGACGCCCCGTCGATGGCACATACCTATAACAACTAGGCACACGTCCCAATAATATTTGAAAATGAGCCTCGCACCGGTTCAGACCTTTCCTGGGGTTGGCCTTGGCGCTGCTCATCTATGGATTGAGGCTGCTATAGTGAGACAAGTCTATAAAGGCTTGTCGTATCTTTCTACAGCCTTGTAGTCCCGCCGCGCTGCGTAGGGTATCAGTTGTAGTCCATGCAGCATGTCCAGTGCCTTCACTTTCCGTTAGCATGGGCGGTGCCCCAAGCGCTTGGCCGAGTACGACTCTCCTCTAGGACCTTTTCCTGACTGGGCACCTCGCTTCTTGACTATCATATATCACAAGCTTAGTAGAAGTGGGACGGCAGCATTATATGTTTTCTCATGATACCTGATTTCAGTATTTTCAGACCCACCCCTTTCAGCATCGAACATCTTCCAAAGTACCTATACACATATATTATATAGAGCTTAAAGGGGTAAAGCTTACGGACGGAAGCCAGTCTTCTTAGTTCTACTTCTAGGAATGGCCCCACTCAGGGTAATATGCCATGCCTACCTAAAGTACCTATATAATCCTGGCACACATCGTTGCGTCGTCGTTATCCATCCACTTGGAGTTATCTAATTTAGGCAGGCTACCTATGACTAGGGTGTGTGTACGCATATCCGTCTCCTCCGTAACATCCAATCTCGAAAACAGCAAAAGCTGGTTCCCCATGCCGGGCCCATCGTAGCTCATCGTCTTACTCTCCGGGTCGGCTTCGACGACAGGTGGGAGATGCCATATCACCCGTTGGGGTTTCGATCACGCTCTGCTGAATACATTGGTTACGTACATCTGCTCTTTCCTCTGAGCTGATCTACGCTGGTATAAATTAGCATGCAGCCCCTATTAGTCCTGAGTCAAGGCTGTGTGTCCCTTTACTTACTTCCCTCTTTCGCTGTGCTATGGTCAGGCTAAATGTGAGAATTTGGTTTCTAACATGACTGCAATTCTTCTCTAGGTATCGACATGGTTTTCAACTTCCGCAAGCGCGCTATCACCGAGGAGATCACTCCAACCAGCATCTCTTGCAGTGAAGTAATAGAGGCCACCGGTGTTGAGGTTCTTACTACCGTCAAGGCATTCGAAGAACAGCATAAACTTGATCCCAACTTACCAATCGAAGATCACGATAATGTCGATGCGGCCCTTACATCTGGTGATGCTGAGAAGGGAATCGAGGTTGAGGCGGCATTACTCGAAGAAAATAGCCCTTACCCGGAAGTAGGTCCCTATCTACCCTAGCTGTTTATGACTTGCTTAGATATCTAAACGACTTAAAAGGTACGCGCTGCGGTAAGAGACTACGATATCGACCTACCGGCTAATACAATTCGAGCTTGGGTAATCGGCTTGGCTTTGTGTACCGTAGGCTCGGCCGTAAATATGCTCTTTTCCTTGAAGAATCCTACTATACAAATCACCACGTATGTCATCCAGTTGATCGCGTACCCCATTGGGCGAGGATGGGACTTGATATTCCCCGATCGAAAGTTTAATATATGGGGGATCAAGTTTAACTTGAAACCTGGAAAGTTCAACTTTAAGGAGCATGTTATTATCGTCGCCATGTCGAATGTAAGTCAAAGATATATGGCTAAGCGGATAGAAGTTGAACCCTGAACAGGCCGCTTATGGTGGAGGCTTCTTGTACGCCACCGACGTCCTGATTGCTCAGCAGGTATTTTGTAAGTTGCGTCTCAAATGCGACTCTATAGGCTTAGGAAGCTAATGCTTGGAGGAAAGATAAGCAACACTTCGGTTGGGGCTTCCAGATACTATTTGGGATTACCACACTTTGCACAGGATACGGCCTAGCCGGGCTCGCCAGACGCTTCCTTGTCTGGCCGGCTGCGATGATATGGCCTTCCGATCTTGTAAACGCTTCATTGTTCTATGCTCTCCACGACCACTCACCTTCCGATCCTGTTCAGTCGAATGGTTGGAGAATTAGCCGATATCGATGGTTCTTATACATCACGCTTGGCGGATTCGTATGGTATTGGTTCCCAGGCTGGATCTTCCAGGGGCTATCTTACTTCACGTTCATATGCTGGGCTGCTCCTAAGAACGTTGTTGTTAATAAGCTCTTTGGGGGGTTGCATGGATATGGCCTCCTACCGACGACTTTAGACTGGACCATGATCTCTGGTTATGCGCTATCTCCGCTCGTCCCCCCTTTCCACGCCATAGCCAACACTGTAGCAGGTGTATTTATCTTCTATATCGTCGTTTCTATGGGCTTACACTTCTCTGGCGCATGGTACGCCGATTACTTTGTCGTCCAGTCATCGAGTGCCTTCGATAATACCGGTGCCGTCTACAACGTCTCACGAATCCTGAACGACGATTTGACCTTCAACGAACAGAAGTATCACGAATATTCTCCCCTGTTCCTCTCAACTCAGTTTGCCCTTACCTACGGGCTTTCTTTTGCCGCCGTCGCCGCCGTAGTTGTCCACGCTGTTCTATATCACGGGAAGCAGATCGTCTCGCAGTTTAAGCTTGCCCGAAATCAAGAGGACGACATCCACATGAAGCTAATGAGGAAGTATAAAGATGCCGAGGATTGGTGGTACCTTGCCCTCTTTGCTATAATGATTGGCTTGTCGTTTATTGTGTGCTGCGCTTGGCCTACAGGGTTTCCTGCTTGGGCTTATGTGGTTTGCATCTTAATCCCACTGGTCTGGACAATTCCGATTGGCATCGTGCAAGCAATCACAAATATCCAGCTCGGGCTGAACGTCTTAACAGAATTTGTCGTTGGCTACATGTTGCCCGGTCACCCTCTAGCCATGATGATGTTCAAAAACTATGGTTACATTTGCATACAACAGGCTCTTGTAAGTACATCTCTGAAGTCTCTTTCTAACAAGAAGAGTAGTGGGCAAATTGTAGAAAGATATATGAGCTACATACCTTTTGCAGCGAGTTTCCGATGCTAACTTTGACTTTAGTACTTTGCTCAGGATCTAAAGCTTGGTCATTATATGAAAGTGCCTCCCCGTACCATGTTTTGGTCGCAGCTGGTTGCTTCAGTATGGTCGGCCATTGTTCAAATCGCTGTTATGAACTGGGCCTTGGGAGCGATTCCTAATATCTGCTCCGACGACCAGCCTGATAATTATGTATGCCCGAACGGCAGGGTCTTCTATACAGCATCGATCATATGGGGTGCTATAGGCCCTGCGCGAAGTATGTAAATATCAACGTCGCGATGTTTTCTAAGCATCCAACTCTCGTTCCCCTGCGATCAGTATCATTAACACATCTTACAGTGTTCAGCGGTGACGCCATATACTCCTCTTTGCAATGGTTCTGGTTCGTTGGCGCTATCACGCCTATAATTACTTGGTTCTTGGCCCGTCGCGCTCCAAAGTCTATATTTCGCTTTATAAATATGCCGCTTTTTTTCGGGGGCGCGAGCTGGATCCCGCCCGCCACGGCATATACATATCTTTGCTGGGGAACAGTCGGCTTTGTGTTCAACTACTACATCAAGCGAAAATGGAACGGCTGGTGGATGCAGTATAATTATATTACATCGGCTGGTTTGGACGTGGGCCTAGCCATCTCAACTGTCGTCATATTCTTCACACTCTATCTCACCTCTGCCAGGTTACCAAAATGGTATGGAAATTACGATGTGTTCGATACCCTCGACCAGACGGGGTTAGCAATCAAGAGCTTTGTTGCCGACGGAGAAACGTTCGGGCCAAACACATAGGCATAATCTACCTCGTATGATACTGTTCGACTAGCGTATTTGTATGACAATGATTGACATAATGACAGCTGTGTCCAAGAGAATAGTAGAACCGAGATGTTAAGAAGAAGCCGCGGTACCGACCCCCTAAAAAGAAGCAGCTAATCCTACAAAGACTAACCCAAACGCAGATATAGGCAATGTCATTAACCATGTCCTCCACTACGATATAATTCTCTATTATGCATTTAAAGAGCGATTGGGAGTGAGAACTGTGCATACCAGGCTTGAGTCTAGACAGGTGTCAGTCAAGTCATAGGCAACGAAAGCGAAGTAGACCATAGATATGCTGGGCGTCCTTCATGTTTTCAGCATCCCGTCAACCCCGACAACGCTGCCATTTATATATCTGGCCTCGTCACTCATTAAAAAGGCAACAACCTATAATGATAAAACTGTCAGCTTCTGCACGGTCACGGAATGCTCCAATATGGTAATAGCCATGTCGCAAAATACTCACCCCTGCAATGTCTTCTGGAGTACCCATCCTGCCCAGCGCATTTCCTTGTTCCATACGCCGCCTTGCCTCCGGCGTTCCCGTAACGATTCCCGTGTTTGTCGGGGTATCAATGTATCCTGGTGCGACAATATTTACTCGAATTCCTTTTGGACCCAGCTCAAGCGCCATGCACTTACTAAAACCGATAACACCGAACTTGGTGGCGCAGTATACGGCTGTTCCCGCGTCGGGATTCCACCCAGAGATGGAACTCACGTTGACATAGCTGCCGCCGGGGGTTGTCATATGCGGAATGGTGGCCTTGGTCACGTTGAACATACCTTTGAGATTGACGCTGACCAGCTTGTCGAAATGCGCCTCGCTCGTTTCTGTCAGGGACATAGAGGTTGGATTGACGCCAGCACAGTTAAATACGTGGTCGATGCGTCCGTACTTGGCCACGACCTGGGATACCCGCTCATTTACATTGACGGAGTTTGATACGTCCAGAACGTGAGCCGTGTGATGCTCTGAACTGCTACCGCCAACACAGAGCGCGAGTGTCTCGGCTAGACCAGCCTCGTTGATATCTGTGATAGCAAGAATGGCACCTATACCGTTCAACTTGATTGCTGTACCGCGTCTGGTCCGGAGCGAATATTAGAAAAAAGATGCGTCAGCTAGAGAGAGAGTGGCCAACTGGGACACGAAGTCTACCTAAGCCTTAAAGTGGGATAGGTTTGATACGACTTACCCGATACCACTCGCCGCGCCGGTGAGGAGGATCACTTTGCCAGAGAGACTCGAGGACATGATATAAGTGCGTAGGATAATGTTAAAGGTAGGTATATAAAGCTTTACGATATCTTAGGTACCTTTCATACTTTTCGAAGAACTTTCAACTACAACATCTACAACATCCCCCCCGCACTTATAGATACCATTCCCCCACCTGAGCTCGGACAAGGCTTGTTCCCCTCCATTCTATGATACGGATGACCGATAACCCCTATGGACGCGTAAAAGGGGACGGGGCCCTTTATCTGGGTATATTGCCAAGAGTGGGAAGTGGGATTCAAGCCAGTCAACTAAAGACAGTTTCATACCAAAAGTGTACACTACTGTAAGCCACACGCCACTGCTAATGTGTATATATATATATACCTATATATATCAGGTACCTAACCTAATAAATATATGCATAGGTACACAGATGTTCGTCTGATCATATTCCCTGTGCTGTCCGAAGTAAGTCTACAAACCCAAAACCTATCCGTCGCATTCGCATATCTGTAGATACCTATACTCCCCTGGCCTCGTTTTGAACCCCGTAAATAAGCCTTTCGTATCCCGATAGAAAAAAAAAACATATATAAAAAAAACAAGTTTATAGGTTCGAAGGCTCATTCTGTGTAGTGTAGATGGGTATGAGTAAAACTGATGCCAGGGTATATAATAAGCTGAAAATGCACCAAACCCCTTGCCCGTTTTTAACGCCAAAATCAATTGAAAGCAGAGGAGGAAGATGTTCTTGCGGTTCCTTCATTCGTAGAATCGTTCATCCCATTCGTGTCGCAGCAGATCGACCGACAGAGGCCACCAAGACATTAAGGGCCCTTCGATACTAGAGACCTGCTGATGTTTCGAGGCCTTCTTAGAGGTTTTGCGTTCGACCACCTCGGACTCGATCCATTCGTGCTCCATGAGCTCCTCTGACGCGGGCCACCATGACATTAGCGGTCCCGAAATCTCAGAAACGTGGCTCTCTTCCAGTGCAGCTATGCGGACCTGCTCTGCCTGCCTGTCCAATTCAGACACTGACGCCACGGCATGCGACGTCTCCTCCGACTGTCTGCCTAGGAAGACGGGAAATTCGAAGCCATCTTCAAATCTTAGTGGGCGCGTCCGGTAATAAGGGTCCAGTGAGGACGGTAAGTACACACCTTCGTCGAAGTCGGACTCGCAGTCGCTGAGGACTGGGGTTTCGTTGGTCTCCGATTCGGGCGTTTGCGTACCCGATTCAAATGGTGTTGCGTAGCCATCGCGGTAGACGTGGTTGATGATAACCCTGTCCTTATGGCCGTTGTGGTGCAAGTGATTCGCATAGAGCAAATGTGAAAGATCGTCCTCGTTGTAGATGGCGACCTGGGCGTCGATCTTGGTGTCCTCTGGGACAGTGCTGGGTTCGATGTGAGCATGAGCATGAGTAGCGGCTGCTTGGGTGGCAGTCAGTTGCTCAAGCTGGAAGATATCACCCTGCATGATGGTTGGCTTTTTGGATGCTTTGATCTGATAGATCTAATATATTGACCGTAGTCGTAAGTAGTAGTAATGATGATCTTGGATCTGGATGTAGATTGATGGATGCATAGCTAGATTATTTCCCCAGACATGATGTTCCATTTTATATACAGAGGCCAAGGCTATATATTATATGCTATATGTTATACACGTATGCTACGATGAATCGAAAAAAACAAAACAAAAAACAACTGTCCGACTATCGTACTAGAACCATACTCGAACTATTAGATCCGAAGTATTCTCGTCTCATCAGGCCAAGCCTCATAGCTTGGGCAGTCCCGTCGCGCCTAGGCGGACGACTCCCTGTAGCAGAAAATGAAAAGCAGGAGAAAAAAGCGGGTTTATGGTGGCGTGTTCTTGAATCACTATGCTATTGATAATCGTATGATCAGGGGTCAGCAAGTCCGGCTTCACCCGAGCGACAGAAAGCCTTCCCTTCCGGCTTTTCTAATGCCCCTTAGTACGAGCTATACGGGGAACGCCAACGCCAACCGTTAACCTAGCGCGCCCCCCCAGATCTTAGTCGAGAATTCATTTTGAAGCTACGGGATGAATCCTGGTATATCAGAAAGAATATTAGAACTTTTTTATCGTCTATCTAGATGCTGAATGATGCTTCTCATTCTCGCCATCCACATAGTTCCACCACAACTAGAATATTTTTTTTTTTTAATTTTTTTTCCCTTGGTTTACCTGACCAACGACAACCTCCAAGCGCGGATGCATCAGAAATTAGATCGCGTTTCGCCGCCTTCAGTTGCACATGTCAAGAGCATTAGTACCTATACAAGGACTTTCTGTTCATGAAGTCATTAAAACCGTGTTATTAGTCTCGCATTAATATGATCTCGCAAACTCACCTTGATTTCCTCAAGAATTTCCTCTCGTACAACTTCAGGTTCCCTATTAGCATCTACTCGGGTAATCTTCATTCCCGACTCTTCAAGGGCAACGAGCATCGCTTTACTCTCAGCAATGGAACGCGTAATTCTCTCCCACACCGCCGATTCATCGCCATCATCCGGCCGTCCTGATGTCAAGGCTCGTCCGAGCACACGTGCAAACGAAACCTCGGGAGGACAGGACAAGTAAAAGATGCAGCAAGCCTGCGGCATTTGAGTCACCCACTCTACAACGTGATGTTCATTACGGGGGAAGCCATCAATGAGCCAAGCCAACTGGCCGTTGTGTATCTTTCCAATCTCGATGGCGATCCGCATCAACAAAACTGCAAGACGAGCTGGAATGTCAGGCTTCTTGGTTCCCTTCTGGCGCGGCAAACTATTCACCCAAGAGCCGGGGATTCCATCCTGGTAACGGATTAAGTCGCCGTAGGATAGGTGAGTTAAGTTGGGGAATCTTAAATCGAGAAAAGTCGAGATTGTACCCTTCCCTGTACCGGGCGCTCCTAATATGAAGAAGACGATGGGTTCCTTAGGATGATGTGGTTTGTATAATTTTGTTGGTGCATCCCCTATCTCACCTGGGTACCGGTAGCCTGTTGTATAACCTGTTGTACCAACGGTCTCAAGTTGTCTTTGATTTAGGTTACCTGTACCTCTGGTTCTACCGCCCCCACCCAGGAAGGGTAATGATAGGATTCCGCTGAGATTGATTCTTGAAAGGAAGCGCCGTACCACCGTCGTAATTATTTCGAGCATATTGGTCAACATAATGTCTTCATGCCAAGTTAATAAAACTAAACAGGCACCAGGAAAAGGCCATCGTCTACATGTATTTTCATGCACGATTGCCTCGTGAATGAAAACAACTTACTATTGCTTCTAAAATATTGTTTAAACCTAGATAGGTAGGAATTATAGGTAGGATCTGGTCTGGTAACTAATGATTCAAGTTTACTGACTGAAACCTTGCGTGCTCGCGCCTAGCATTCGAGGTGGAATCTAGAGGCTACATATTCCTCATATTATATATATACCTAGTTATATAGTTATATAGTTATATATATATTAGGTATATATGAATTTGTATCACCTGAACGAGAAGCTCCTATATAATGTATGGACGTCTATTGACTCGGACGGCTCAAAATGGTCTCTTCGTGATTCATCTGTTTGACAAAATAACCCCTAACCTGGAAAAATCGTGAGGCTTCTACCGCAGCCTCCTACGCACGTCAACGGGTACTGTACATAGTAGCTTCCAAAGCAAATCAAACAGCTCCTAGATTAGGCAGGATTACCTATTTGAGGAACTCTGCCGAAGTGAACGGTCTACTTTTCGGGTTCTCGCATCATTTAGAGTGAGGCTACTGTTATTTACCTTCCATGCATTCCTGTTGCTACTATTCTGGGGGCGTGTTGGAAGCTAACTGCCAGAAGCCAGCTGGCAGCCGACGCTACCATGTCCGTGTATCTCGTCACTTTTTAGTTGCCATCTTTCTGACAGGTCATGCTTTGGGTATCACTAGACGGAATCTGGGATAAATCTTTCGCCATCGACGAAAATCTCAATTTTTCTATTCTGTTTGCTGAATACTAGGTAGGTGCGCATCTGGATGCGACGTAGCTCTACCCCTATACACGGTCTTGATACGCAACCTGCCAGCTACGTATCTTCGCTACTACTTTCGAAAATTGGCCCGAACCTACCATAACGGAGACCTCCACGCCTCCTAGGTACTGTCCAGAAGCCCGTGAGTACACCGGCTCCCTCTGGAATTTGGCATAGCTTTGCCCCGGCAACGCCAAGTTGATCAGGACAAGATCGATCAAGGATAAATACGGTTCGCTTAGTGACACGCCTATTAATCTTTTCAAGACTCAATACCGAAAAGTCTATTTTTTGGCCAGAAGTTGTTAAGAACTAGAGAATAATCATTAGTGATATCCACTGGGTAATTCGCGATTATAATAAGCCGGTGGGTGGCCGAACTCACATTCATATATAGAATATGGTTCTGTCGGGTGCCTCCTATCTCCACTCGTGCTAGCTTATCGTCAGGAGAAATGGGTATTATTTTGGCCTCCTTTAAGCCGATACCAAGAGTGACAGACCTGCCATCTTCGTGAATAAAGCAGATGCCAACTAGTTCATTTGTCACGTTCCTGTACGTGACTTGGATGGCTACAACCGGATTCGGGGACCCATCTTCACACGTATCCTGCATAAACGCCCTTTGCGCGACTGACCATGAAGGGAGTAAGTACCCAGCTGAACCCATAAGTAGTCGTGAGCTAGGTCTGTCCGTTTTCGATGTATGGAAGACACGGATATGGTCCCACTGCAGCAAAAGATATTAGTACTCATAAGTCATATTAGATACTAAGGAGTATTAGGGGCGGTTGGATTACATGAGCTCTCAAGGAGTAATTTATCCACTTTTTAGATGAAGCCAGAGAGTAAGAGGCGGGGCCACTATGAAAGGGATCCGACAGAATAGAGAATAATAGTTACCATGAACACTTACTTGGTGATTATACCCCCAGACGATGCTGCTCTTTATCCCCTAGTCAGTAGAAAAAAAAGGGAGGGAATCGCTTCTAGACGATATATGCAATTGGACTAACCAGGTACTCATATGGATTCTCCCGATACTCCAGGCATATTTCTGCGTTCCTATGGTCTTCTTCAAATTCCTTGGCGATGCCATGAGCGGTTCTAATTTGAAGCTTCCTAAGCGATCCATACTTTATTTCCTTATACTGATTTGGGTAATCGTGCCATGTTATCACTTCTGATATTCGATCTCCTAGAGGGATTTCAAACGACCCAATCTCATTTACCCATTGCCCTACGATGATTGGTATGGCACAATCATAGTATTCGAGCCAGAGGCCCGTTATACGTCTCGGTGAGCCAGTCTCCTCCATATCCCCTACGGAAACGCGGACTTTTCGAAGGCGCGATAAGACTGCGGTGGTAATGGCAAACCCTCCCGAATATGTCAACATATCTTCAGCTGAAGACAATGTTTCCGAGGTGATAGGAACATAGTGTGTTACAGCTGCTTTCTCAGGAAATAGTTGCGAGTCCTTATTTAAAACCTGGCAGCGTGCAGAGAAATTTCGGAAGTGTCCTAGGGGTGACTTGATGTGCCATATTTTAGCTAGATATAGACAACAAAGTTTTCGTGACGGATACCCTACCTGGGCCTTTGCGTAGAATGTCGTGAAGCACATTCCCGGCTTAGCCTGCAACACGTAGCCGTCTTGCTCGGCGCCCTCGACATACTCTTTGCCGTAGAGACGAAACTGCATCTCTCTTCCTAAACCTGTAGTAACCTAGGATAAAGACAAGCTTGTAAGTCATTTCCATTTTGACAAGCGCTGCTATTACGAACATTCCACCCAGCAGGATAGAATGTGTACGTGGATAGATCATACCGTGATAGCCGAGATTGCATCTGAACAATAATTGACTGCGATCTTGGTCATAACTTCACCGCCTGGCCCGTCGATTGGGAAGCCTTGCCGAATTGCGGGTGTGTCACCTAAGTCGTTCAAACTGTTCCGAAAACTCTTGCGCCCATAGAAGCGCTCGCTTCCATCGACGTAGGAAAATAAAATGCCTACGAATACCGAAGGATAGTTCCCCATTAACGCATCAATTCTGACCAGTGATCGTAGTAGCTGCCCATTAGTTCCGCCAAAGTTCATGTTCAGACACAAGTTGAAACCCCGTGGAGAGCAAGGAATAGAAGGCCACTCTGGAAAGAATTTTGGAATACATGGATTCCAAATTTCTGTCGGGTCAAATTTTTCGATATACGATTGAGTACTTGCTGCCGGTTTCTCTATGAGTGAGATGGAAATAATCTTGCAGGCCTGATATAAGAATTAGCTATGTTGCGTATCGTAGACATTCGCTATAACGTACGTCAAACGCGAGGTGGAAGCCAACGCATTCCGTACTGCAGCCCGGTATCAGCGTGCATATTCCGGTCCTGGGGTCAGGAAGTTCCATATTCCCTATTGAAATAGCGTATGGACCCTGAGACCCTTGAATATGTAGACGCAGTCCGACCAGACCCTTCGCCTCCATTGCTGCCTCAATATGCTTTACGGAACTGTGAGGTTCTAGGAATATTTCGTGTTCATTGCGCAAATTAATAAGCCCGGCCTTGCAATAGACAAGACTACTTGGATCAGCGCCCAATAAACGGAAACCACTGATATAAGATTTTCCATTGGAATACACAAATGAAGCTCGTAATCGTTGGGGTATGGAGCCTGAGTGGTGAGGCCAAAGGAAATCTTGACGCCTAAAAAGTCTACAACCTAAGGATAACGACTCCGTACTGTTTGCATTGCTAGGATAGAAAGACGCCTCCGCGAACACCGTTTGTTGGGGGAAATGCGCTGGGTTACGGCATAGGGGCTCGTCTAGGCCGGAATCATTTTGTAGACGCACGTATAAGGAGTCTGTGATATGTTGAAATATATGATAAATACGACGCCGGTTCCTAAAGCCATGGAACAAGTCCGACCTCAATGCGCCTTTCTACATAACGAATGTTGTTAATTTGCTTGTCCAAAAACAAAACAAGACAGAATTTTCTTATAGAAATATGATACGTACGGCTTTGAGATATAACGTGCGCCAATCTGTAGGTCCACGGGGCCTTGGGTTGGAAGGACCAGCAAAGACAAACCCCATTTCAAAATCTGGATCGAACCGACTAGACCAGAACGTCTGATCAAGCAACTCTGGGGGCGAAAGACTAGCTGTATGCCTTGAAGCGAGTCTTAAGTTGCAAACATCTCGACTTGGTAGATGGGTAAGGATAAGTACGATAAGCTCTCTTGGTAGAAGCAGGAAAGGATCTGACACCGAGTATCCCCTATGAATCACGCATGAGTTTGCCAAGTAAGCGTGGAAAGATTTGACTTCATCGTCGAGGCTTTCTTCGTCAGGTACGAACTCTTCGGTTATATCACCCGTGATGAAAGAGTAACTGGTCGAATTCACGCGGGTGAAGTAACTGCTGCTTAGTTCTCCATCCCGTAGGTGGAATTGACTGGCGTGCCCGTAATCGTGACCAGGAGCTAGAGTCTCGCTCTCGACGCTTACGGGAGTATTGATAAGTAGAGCAAAGAGATGGCGTGCCAAGTCGTTAACAGATACCTGGCGGTAGTGATTAACACGATCTCTAAGAAGATCCCAGCAGGCATCATGGATGACATAGCACCAGTATTCAGCAGGTTCACGTTGCGGATAGCCGACTCGATGTGTAGCGAAGTCACGGTGTAGATCTTGGTGCGGCTCGTAGTCGTAGTAATAACTGTCATAGTTGAGAGGAGAGATGACGTTTCCCTCGATATCGAGCCATCCAACGCCCGTGATAAAAGGTTCATCAAATCCTCTTTTAGTTCGCACTAAAAAGGAGGTTGTTATATTAAGTAGTATCAGTCTGGGCAGTAATTATTTCTTGATAGGTACATACAGGCTCGAACTGCTTGCAACCAATTAAGGCGATAGTCAGGATTTGCCACGGTTAGGTTATCGTGAGGGTTTAACCATACGTCGACTAGGATGTCGCAGAGAGGGCAGAATCGAGACTTATTAGACATGATGAAGGTTAAACGTGGGTTAGGATATGGAGCGTCAGATGGGTTTGTGTTGGGGATGTTTGAAAAATTGCAACCTAACATTAGGTACCTACCTCCTACTTATACATCTTGTGTATTGTGCAAATGGAAGCGGATGGGTTGCCGGATTCCCTGTCAATTGTGAAAACCTAGGTACCTACCTTATTTGGTACCTATCTACCTAGGTATGTACATAAGGCGATTAATAAACCTGATCAAGTTACGAATATATTCCTACACCTATTTTGGTGATAAAATACCTTGGGTAGATAGGTATACATCGCATCATCCCAAAGCCACCAGACCAAAAAAAAAAAAAAAAAAAAAAAAAAAAAACCCCTTATAAGAATCCTAATAGTACCATCAATCCGGGCATATAGACTACCACTGCGGTCTTAATATAATTCGTTACGGTTGGTAATAGAAACAACCACTTACAAACCAGACATCCATCACAAAACCTAATCTAGAATATGCCATTCACAATCTTACCACCAAGCGTAGCACCAGCACCGAAGATGGCAGCATTTCCGAGCTTCTTGCCAAATTTCTTACCATTCTGCTCCAGCTTGCTCGGTTCGCCGGGTGTGCTGGGACTACCACCTCCTTGCGCCACAGCCATGGGGGGAACTTGTGCGTTATACGGGTTCTGGGCCTGCGGCGGTGGAGGATATCCCCCGTTGCCTCCCGGCGTAGGCGTAGCGTACACTGGTTGAGCAGGGGCGTAGAATCCCGCTTTCTCGCTATTGTCTAACTCGACGTAATTTTTAGGGAAGATGCCCTCGGCATTCGTCCGCTTGTTGCGTCCCATCCACCAATCATCATTCATATATTCATACACAGCAATCTTGTCATCGCGCTCGAACGACAAATCCCGGTCGTCAGCGGCCTGGTATTTATAGAGCGCCTTCGCATGTGCGATGATCGGTTTTGATGGAGGCGGCGCCGGAGGTCCTGCGCGGGCAGGGAGCGAAGGAGGACCAGTTGAACTGTAAGCCGGAGGTGCGGGCGTGGGTGTCGGGTTCGGATTAATTGCTAAGTTGGTCATCGAATTAACAGGCGGTATATGTTGCGGCGGGGGGCCTGGTGGATGTGAAGCGACAGAAGCTCCTCGTGCTACTGGTGTAGGCGCGCCGGAGAGGGAGGTCTCTGCAGGGAGCGCCCTACTGATTGAGTTGAATACGTCGTCCGTCAAAACTCCCTTCTCGAGAAGATGCTCAAGCTCCTGGAAGCTAATTAGCAATAAGTTCACTTATGGTGATAAAAGGATATAGGAAGGATTGGATCTGTCTATCTAGCATACATTTTTTATGAGACGGAGCGACTTGTTAGTCGCAATGATCTCCTGGCGATCGAGGGTAACCATTTTGTTAAGACGAGTCGGCCAAATGGTTAGTGTATGGTTATCCAGTCGTAGAACTGAACGTGATAAGAGCCGCCGGGAAAGAGACGACGGCGATTTAGTCTTATTTCATCAGCTCGGAGAAATTTATATTATTCGAAGAGAATCATCAATGATGTCCTAGAGGTGATGTCTCAAAATTGTAGGATGCTATGTAATTGCAAATGACAAAATCAGAAAATTTATTGTAACTTTTTAAAAAGTTGCGGCCGCTCGGGAGACAGGCAGCAGACCTCTAATTGTTGGTGGAAAGACGGGAAACGGGAAACGGGAAACGGGCAGAGGCAAAGCCCCGCCTTTCAGCACACGAGATGGTGGCTGTGCATAGGGTACTTACCTCCAATCCCTTGAATGAAACAAATGAATCCATCCATTAATTGATCCATCTGCATTGCCTCCAGGTATTGTACTTGCCGAAGTTAGGTACCTAAGGTAGGTACAATACCTCATAGGGATTAGATTACGTGTACCTATTGGAAGTTATGAAGTTACATAACTTCCAATTAGTACCTAACCTTGGCCTATGTTCATCCCTTTCTTTTTCTCCATGCACCGAAAAGAAGCATGGTAGCTCATATCAATATCGTAGACTGCCCAAAAAAACAAGAAAAAAAAAAAAAAATCTCTGGGCTACGTATTTGTGTACCTATAAACGGAGGCATATCTTGATGTCTTGGCTTTTAACGCGTTTCTAACTAGATCCGCAAATCTAAACAAAAGAGCTATTCTTCACAACATATTTGTCAACATATTCGTCCACAGCCATAGCCTCCAATTTCTTGCCGTCTATTCCCAGGTCGACAAGCTCCTTGACTTGAGACTCGGAGAAGTGTGGCTCCAGGTGTCGCTTATACTTGGCCAGGATGTGCGGCTTAGCCTCTTCTCTCCTCAGGCGGTGTCCTAGCGGAGCCTCGACGACAACCTCATCGAGGATCGTGCCGTCATTCAGCTCGACTGTCAGCGCGTTGGAGATGGTACGTAGCTTTGGGTCGTGGTAATCCTTGGTAAACTGCGGGTCCTCGACACACTTGATCTTCTGACGGAGCGACTCGACTAATGGGGACGTTGCCGCCTCGCTGCCGTCGGTATAATCACCCGCCTCCAAGCGCCCGAACACGAGCATGACCGAACACATATACTGGATACAGTGATCGCGGTCCGCAAAGTTGTCCATCGGCTTGAACTGCTTGTCGATAATTTGGGTGCACGCCTCATGCGTCCTGCAGGTAATGCCCTTGATATCAGCTGCAGATTTACCTAGCTCTTTCAGTTTGTCGTGGATCTTTTGAGAAGCCTCGACTGCAGTCTGCGAGTGAAACTCGGCTAAGAAAAGACTAGTTAGTAGGGCGACAGCCTTTTAAGACTTGGCATGATACGAACCTGGATACGAGACTTTGAAGAGGACGTTTTCCATCACGTAGCTGCCATAGGGTCGTTGGAACTGGAATTTATTGCCCTTGAACAAAACATCGTAGAAACCCCATACCGGCGCAGATAAGACGGTAGGAATACCAGACTCGCCTTTTGCGACTTTCAACGCAAGGTTGACGGCCCTTTGGCAAGCGTCACCGGCTGCCCACGACTTTCGGGACATGGTGTTGGGAGAGTGTCGATAGGTTCGCAAGCTCTGTCCGTCGACGAAGGCCTGGGTGACAGCGGCGGCGATTTGCTTCTCGCTCAGCCCGAGCATGTGGGAGACAACCGCGGCGCTGGCAACTTTAACAAGCACAACGTGGTCAAGACCAACCTTGTTGAATGAGTTGAGTAGTGCCAGACAACCCTGGATCTCATGGGCCTTGATCATCCCTTCTAGAACATCCTTGACAGTAAAGATCTTGCCCCCAGCCAAGTTGCCTCCAGCTTTATTGGTGCGATTGACCCAGTCGGCAACGGCCAATATAGCGCCCAAGTTGTCGGAAGGATGTCCCCATTCAGCAGCCAACCAGCAGTCGTTGTAATCAAGCCATCGGATCGCAGCACCAATGTTGAAGGCACCATTGACGGGATCGAGGACGAAGTCGGTACCAGGGACCCTAGTGCCGTTAGGAACGACGGTTCCAGGGACAGTTGGACCAAGCAGCTTAGCGCATTCCTTAAATCGTAGACCTTCCAGCCCACAGCCCAGAGTGTCGAGGAAGACCCATCGCGCGGTGTCAAACTATATATATTTGGAGGTTACATGTCAGCTAAACTCGCCCACGGCGGCACCGATTTCCACTTTGCACGATATCGGGCAGCAACATAGGTAAATAAGAAGGGACCTACAGCTAATTCGGAGTCGATTGGCTTGGTCACGTAGTTAGCGATGTCCCTGATCTCGGGATCGTATTCCCTTGTTGCTTCTTGAGGCATCGGGGAAGCGGATCTCTGGGGGGTAGTTGTTGAGAATGAGGAGGACGAAGCGGGAAAGCGGGCGTAGGTGGTGGGGTGAGTTCCTCGTATCGTAGCTCCAAGTTTAACCGTTGCTACGCGCGAGGACGGGGTTAGAGGGGATGATGTCCTTTGCAGGATGGTTCTTGGCTGCAAGCGCAGTGAGCGGGAGGCCGATAGGAGACTACGGTTGACTGAAGACATTTTGCACCGGTCGTTGGGCTCAACAAATCATTTGGCCAACGTCAACCAAGGGGGAGGGAGTTTTGGAAGGAAGGCCGACTTATTAGTACCCTAGGTAAACCGTATATACTAGGTATTTATTTACATTAATCCCTCGGTATTGTATTGTACAATACAATACGATTAATAACTTGTAGCGTAACCCGCTTACATGCGGCCAATGGCGGGGAAGAAACCCCAGAAAGACAAGGAAAACCCCATAAACTTGAAAATCGATTGTGTCAGTCAACCTTTTAACAGGTTGGTTAACCTAGGCAGGGTTAATATAATTCCATCTTTTTTTTTTTTTTTTTTTTTTTTGGTTCTTCTCTACCAACCTTAGGTACCTTTGGTACCTAGGTAGGAAGTAAGTAGACAATCCGGGTTTGATGGTACATTTGGGCGACCTTTCTCAAAACCAAGTCTGAACCTCGGCTGTTTGTTGTTGTCCAACGATGGATGTCAAACGTCAAAATGATAAAATGGTGGAAACTGCTTAACATAGTATAGCTGGCTAGATAGAGTATGGGGAAATTGACATTTACGTAATTGCTTCCGTCCCTAAACTTAATATCCATCCTCCACATGTCCATAAAACGAAGTGCCAAGACTAATGAGAAAGAAAAAGAAAAGACTAGAAAAAAAATAAACGAATGACAAGAGTGGGACTTGAACCCACGCGGATTGCTCCATGAGGATGTAGGAATTAAGGTGACCTTAACCTCACGCCATAACCAACTCGGCCATCTTGCCTTAAAGATTTTGATTGCATTAGCCCTTTATATACCACAGTACCACAGTACAGCCCCTTTGCCTTGCGCATTGCACCCTCTCCACAAAGTGATTAATTCCTTACACAACGACCGTTATGATGATTTCATGGTGATTTCATGGTGATTACCAGACGACGGCACCTCTAACATACCCGCAATCCACAAGCTCCCGAAAGTTCTTCTCCAAACACTTCAGCATGTACCCATCCAAATATCCTCCGCTACCGAGTATCTCAACAATACGATCGTAGTCAAACTCCTCAGATGGCCGAGAGCACTTCTCCAGGATCCTCTTCAGGATAGCACTCCTGCATCTTGGATCTTTGGCTGCTGTGTGCAAGCTAAGCGCCATCAACGACTGTTTCGTCACGCTCGTGTCTACATCCTCATCGTCTTCATCGTGCTTGTCGTCCTTATTTTCTTTCTTCAATCTCTGAATAATCCCTACGTATTCATCTCTTAGCTCTTTTAATACCCAAGGCGCATCCTCGTAGCGGTTACCTCCGGGTTCCTCGTATCCCTCTTTTCCCCTCCACAGTACAGGAGATGGCCGCCAGCGCCATATAAACGTGTTAAAGTCTCTCACGAGCCACGGCGGGAAAGCCTCGTTACCGACTGATCTCGGTGCGGCGTACACGCCGTCCCAGCCCACGATTGCTTTGATATCACCTTCTTTCGACACTATGATGTGGCGCATGCTCAGGCCCGGGTGTGTAAGGACAAACCTCTTGCTTGACTTGCTCCATCTTTCTTTGCCTTTTGCAGACCTTGGTCTAGAGGGCTCACGTATAAGGCCTACAAGGAGACGAAGCAATTTGTCAACGCCCATTGTTGCCTCGGTGTCGCACGGGAATCGGTCCAAGGGCGCAGTGTACATTTCCCTTACGTCTTTGAAGGGACCTACCGGGGCGTATAAGGGTACTCGCTCGCAATGCTCGTTGTTGAGCCAATGATTTACCATGGCTTGTATATTTAGCTCTCTGGAGGGTCCTACGCCAATGAGTATCCCACTGCCGTCGAAAACGGGCGCTCCTCCATGTTTAAATTCGTACTTCCCAAGTTGAAGCATCGCCTGCGCCAGATTCTGTAGGACCTTACTCCTCGTCGCCCTGATCCGCTTCTCATCAAGCCCATCCTCACCCCTACCAAACCATACCTGGTCCAGCGTCAGGCCAGCTACGTACTCCATGATCACGTAAGGCACGTGAATCTCGTTATGAGGGGAGGAGTCGGCATCGATAATCGCAGGCACTGGAACGTTGGTCTCCGTGCGGAGCGTATAGAGTACGAGCGCTTCGGTAAGTAATGTCTCAGCACACAGTTCATCCCATATATCCGGCGTACCGTTGATGGGGATCTTTATCATCCATTTAGTAATTTCCTTGCCCCTTGAATCGAAGAATTTGATCGAGTAGAAGACGTGTGCTGACCCGAACAGTGGTCCGTCAATCTGAGGTAATCGTAATGGAGATGAATTATTGGTGGATGTGAGGCCGTTGCGAGCCTGTATGATACCAAGCGTAAAGGAGGCGATCGCTGCTTTATCGATATGTGACAATATGCCAGCGTACTCATGGTATTTCTTCTGGATTCTCCCCTTCCGCTCTAAAGCAGCGTTTTGGTTTATCTCCATCGGTGCAGCATTGGCCAGTGCATCTCTAAGAGACGGCATATCTTTCCCTTTTTTTGCGTCCAGTTCTTGGCCATCCAGCTTAACTTCTCGTCGCAATAATCTTGTCAGCTTCGCTAGGTCCGTCCATTTTCTCCTGCCGTCTAACCCGCCTGCATAATCAACATGTGATTGACATCCGCCAATTTTCAAGGACAGCCCGAGAATCAAGCCCAAATCCACACGTTGTTCCCGAGCCAGTCGATCCAGTTCCCCTTGGCGCTCCAGGCGAGATCGCTTTACGAAGCTTTGTACAAGAGAATCTGTCATAGCTTCTGAGAGGAAAGCCTTTCTATTTTTTCTTTCTCTTTTTTTTTCTTTTTGTTTTCGAAGAATGGAAATGGGGAAAAAAAAAAAAAAAGAGAGTAAGCTACATGATACAATGCTATTGACTAACTTTGCGAAGAGCAGTTGGACATAGTTGTTTGTAGACCTAGTAAAATCGACAAAGACTTGGTGATGATGCGGGTGGCGTCGGTTTCCGTATCCGGAAGCTATTCCAATATTCTAAGATAGTATAATTACCCGAGCTTGAAAGTCCAGCAAACTTCATAGATAATTCTAAAGTATTCCTAGCCCTCAATGACTCTTCTAAAGTGTATATAAAACAGCATCTTTGGTCTTTCGATAAGGGTATAATAACAATTAATTACTGCCACTCATCCCTCTGAGGAACCCATCTAATAATAGTGCCAATACCGAAGTCACCCGTAGTCCACCATTATACATTTAGTGCAAGAGGCAAAAATGCGGGTTAAAAATAACAACAAAGAGACAACATGGATCTCTAATGATATGTTTATCGTAGTCGTGGTTTAATCGAACCCGAAGTACGACCGTACTTAAGCAGGGTCACTTAATACGCTCGCCTAGGTCCTCCTAACCTACGACCTGCGCAGTCCTGCCCAGCCTGCTAGGCAGCCAGTCATCTGTTTTGCAAGGTGTAGCAAAGCTGGTATCTATCGAGACCTGTACCACCAAGTACCAAGACCGACGAGAAGCAGGGTAATAAACACCACGAGACCCTCTTTCGACTGTGAGATCAGCATAGACCAACCTATGGTCGACTCCCACTTCCGAATCTGAGCTCGACGTTCCCAGGACTGAACATCGATTGGGAATGGGAGCAGGACGCGAGGGTCAGGTAAGCTACTAACGCTTTTCGCTCTAAGCTCCACCTCTACAGCAGAATTAGGAGGTATCAGGCAGTTGTTCTCAAGCATCGGAACCTCTACGCGCAAGAACACCGCTTTATGGTCGCTCGATCTCACGGGAGGAAGTGCATTGTAAGCTAAAACATCCATACTCTTATTGCCGACGATCTCCCTAGCCCACCAGGGTATCTCCTGGAATAGAATGCGGTCGCACCAGCTAGGCCATCGATGAGGAGCCCACGACCACTCGACTTCATCCATGTCATCATCCTCGTCCCCGGCAATCTCGATCCCGGCATGAGGCTTTGGCTTTGGCGATAGCACCAGCTTATAAGTCGGCGGGAACTTGATTTTCGCCTCGGATAACCCGTGCAATGCGCGACCAGCCGCTTTCTCAGCAGTAAGCTGGTCGTGAGCTAAAAAGTGAGAAAAGTGATTGGGACTTTCGGGCGCATTATCGGGATTGCGATCAGGAAATACCGAGTCCAGGGCTGGCGCACTGTCGGATATACGATAGTTTAGATCACCAGCAATAAAGAGGTGAGCACTGGGCTTATATATGGAAATATCGTGCAGGGACTTTTCGGTTCTATCCTGTGAGAGCAGAGCTTGCTGGGCTTCAGATTCACCGTTATCATTGTTATCCCGGTGACTGAATTGTTTTGCCTGCCTCTCTGCGTATTTCTTGGGATCATCAAACACGAGACCCGAGGCTATACTCTCCCAATTCTTGTTTCTCTTTTCGAGATTCCACTCCATAGCGGCTAGGTGAGCACTGACGAAGGTGAGTTCTGTCGATGCTAGTAAAGAACCATCTGCATCCCTTTTGTTATATTGCAGCCGAAGCCCGACAGCTCCTTTGTTGGCCATGCCACCAGCACCAAACCCGATCTCAGTAGCCCGTAGGTGCTTCACCATGTCTGGGTCTCGAGCGAAAAGTAAAATGCCTGTCATACCGACATTGCGCATGGTCACCAGCGTGTAGGGGTGGTCTTTCGGGAGATTCTGGCGCTCCACTTCTGCAGCGAATTTGGCGGCTGCAAGGTTTACGGCCGACTCGTAGCGTTGAAAATAAGGATTAAGCATGTAGGAGCCGATAAAGGCCTGAGCTGAGGGTGCCATTTCCTGGAGGGAGCTAGATAGACAGTTAACTATGTATGGTTCGGCTCACTGCTTCACTGCTCCATGCACTCCTTGCACTCCTTGCAACCTCGTGTACCTCGTGGTATTTGTATGGTACTTACATGACAACCAATTCTGGAAGACGCGAAGCATTCTGTCCGAATGCATTGTATAAGTGTCGAGCAAAGACAGGGGCGTGGATCTGGCGCTTGGCAGCATTGAAAGTGAGTATGAAGACGTCCAGCGTCGGAACTGGATCCATCTTCGTAGACGAATTCGAATAAAGCTATCGGCGTATTATTTCTTTCCTTTCCTTTCCTTTATTTTTTCCCCTATTTTCCTATTTCCCTTTCCTTTCCCGTATGCTTCATTGGCGTTTTGGGGATATTACCTAATGAAGTATGAAATTTGAAGTGTGAAGTATGACTATTTTGTATGTTGTTATATCGTAGGTAGGTTCCCAATGGTGGGACTTATCTTAAGTAGATATTAAGTAGATACTTTTAACTCCTAAGTTAGGAAGGGTCAATAGGTTAATAGGTCAATAAATGTGAATGAGCAAGGGTATCCGGACTTTTGAAACTTTCCTCTTCCTTGCCTGAGTAATAGACATTATGTCATCGATACCCAACTCTCGGCTACTACCTAAGTTACGGATGTTCAGGGTCCTTCCGAATCCGGTTTATGCAAGTAGGTACCTAAGGTACCTATTTACTAGATTTACTAGATTTACCTAAATCTCCATTTCTAGCTCTTCCATTACGACCGCGATTTACTGACATCTTCACTATCTCGACCCTAGGTAAACCCTGCCTAAATCAGGTGCTTCCAAATACAAATTTTACAGGCCATGTGTTCTTCGAGAACGTGCACAGCCTCTCCGGATGACCAGATAGACCCAGAGAGCTTTCCTTTTACAATTGGTCCAAAACTCGACCCCCTTACCTTAACCATGCCTACCTCTCTTATAACTTATATCAAGCTCTAGTTAAATCATTAAACCAAGAACAGTCCAAAATTGTGAATTAATATACTCCTCATGTCGCTCAATGATAATGCAAATAGAATTCATTCTGTCTAACTACCTAGCGTGTATGTTCTGTCGTCATCGTCGCGGAAACCCTCCTCTCCAACCATACTTCTTGAGTGCACCCCATCGAGGTTGTCAATCTACCACGAACATGAACGGCGTCTCTTGTCCAGGCGTTGCGATATTTGTTCCAAATTGTACCTCCTCGGGTGATAAGCGGCCAATAAACCCGGGATTTATGGATACTGCTACTGGCCAAGCGCGCGGAATACATACCGTCCCGTCTTTACTAATCCATCTCAACCTGGTGCAGGGATGCTTCCAACCACTCGATAAAATTTCATCATTATCAACGGCAAGGCCGATAACATGTATCCGTGGTAGGCAAGTTGTCAGCTCCGCCCATGTAAGTAACGTAGGGTTTTGAGACCGAGTCCTGGTCTATGTGGTTTTCAACGAGAATGGCTCCGGGGATCATTATGCGTTGCGTTTGATATTGCTGAGCATCCTGAGACGAACCCCCCACCACTTCATTATAATGTCCCCAGGAGAGGAGACAGGCATAACGATACAAAGTCCGAATGGGAAAATGAACGAAAAGAAACCATTGAAGAAGCGAAAAGGAAACAAAGAAGCTTGTCATATCAGAAGGCTGATCGATCGCATCGAAGGGGCGTCAACCACTCGAAGTAGAACAAGATCAATTCGAGAGTTGTAGAAGCTCGAGCTCCGGGTAGGCATCATCCTCTACTTCATATGCATAAAAAGCAAAGAATTGAGGCTGATATGCCGTGATAGACTTAATTCCATATCGACACCCCGAATGAATCAAAGTGCCGGAAGTGCCTTTCAAACAACCCTAGCCACACCTAAGAAAAACGTCGAATGTGCACAAGTCACAAGTCTACGCCTTCTAGTGTTGCCAGGTTGTTCGAGCCACGGAGTTAAGTCGCAAACCGCGAGTCATCGAAGAACGGAAACAATAGCAATCCATACGATATGAAAGGGATCGTGCGTGGTCCTCTATCCAGCAATAATAGGCGTAAGTCCATGGCGGGACGTTCGTGAGCCAATGCAGAGGGAGAATAATGAGGCTACCACGATTCCGAGTTACTTTCCGTTGTGCAGGTCAACCCTTCGGCAAGCCTGCTACAACGTAACAGTCGTCACCACTGTGAAAATACCGTCGAATCATTTCGGTCGGTAGGATCCAGATGCATATCCAGAGCCAGCACCCTGACCTTTGGAAGCTGATCGCAGCCTGTTACCGCAAACTGAAGTGTCAGCAAATCGTGTCAGCAATTCCTCCGTCTAGCGCTGTAAATCACACCAAACTCGAAGGAAAAATGATTCCTTACTAGGAATGCTTGGGCTGGGCTGGCGAGACACTCACATCCTGTCGCTTCCTCCGACGGCACGGTTGGCTTCTAGAGTGTCAACGCCGGGAACACCGCGCTCGATCACCTTACGGCGAGAGCTGGGGATCGGGTTTGGCTTAACAGCACCAGATTGGGCGGTCTGACCTCCCGTCGCAGCAGTAGTTCGTCGGGCCTTGTCGTCTTCGTTCTCGCCCTGACCCGCCGCCTGTGCAATTGCTTGGGCATTCTTTTGATACTTGTAAACGGTCCAATCGAAAACGTAGTCGTACTGGAATCCTTCACGGACAAAGAGATCACGGAAGATCTTTCGAAGGTAGCTGTAGTCGGGCTTGTCATCAAATCGAAGAGACCGGGTATAGTTTAAGTAGATGGCAAACTCGTTGGGAAAGCCACGGCAGAGAACCTCGGTTGGCGTAGTCATCTTCTTTTCCATGATGCGGTCATACTTCTGCTTCTTGGTAGCAGCCTTAAGGCCCTGCCAAGGGAGGGAGCCTCGGCAGAAGTACAGCATAACATAGCCCAATGATTCCATATCATCACGGCGGGATTGTTCTACCTCAGTTAGCTTCAATGGTGAACAATCCATTGGAAAATATTTACTTACCAACACCAAGATGGGTATTAATAGATGCATATCTGGCAGTGCCAGTCAAGTTCTTGTTCTCACGGTAAGGAATATGGAAGTGAGTCTTGGGGTCTCGGTATTTCTTGGCCAGTCCAAAGTCAATTACATTGACCTGATTACCTCGTTTGCCGATGCCCATCAAGAAGTTGTCGGGTTTGATGTCGCGGTGAATAAATGATTTAGCATGGATATATTCGATTCGTGAAATCAGTTGGTCGGCAAGGAGTAGCACCGTCTTGAGGGAGAACTTCCTGTTACAGAAGTTGAAAAGGTCCTCCAGACTAGGGCCGAGAAGATCTAGTACCATGGCATTGTAGTCGCATTCGGTTCCAAACCAGCGGACGAAGGGGATACCAACGCCACCAGCAAGAGACTTGTAAACTCGAGCCTCATATTCGAGTTGAGGATGCTTCGCCTTAACAGACTCTAGCTTGATGGCGATTTCTTCGCCCGAGATGATGTTGGTGCCAAGATAAATATCACCGAACGAACCGGAACCGATCTTTCGACCGATGCGGTACTTATTACCGACACGGAGATCCTACAGCAGGTCAGCAGTCAGCTCACTTTCCCATCATACTCAAACTTGGAATAAACAAGGCCATGGGGAGGAGACAGGCTTCTAGAGTCACTCTCATGCTGACTATTAGGGGGGTACCCCATCAACGCACACCGACATTCGGTCTCCACTATCTAGACAGCAATCAAGACAACCCATATATATGCTCCACCGCTAGATGACCATGATGACAAAAATAGCGACATACCATAGTAGTCATGTTGACTATTGGGGTTGAGCTACGAAGCTCGACGACGACAGATGAATAAACAGACGAGTCGGAACCTGAGGTTTAATCGACTCGCTGGGTCGATAGGAAAGTTGAATCGAGGTAATTATGGCGAACCCTGTTCAAGTTGTAATTAGCAAGACAAAATCCGGCCGATAGGTAACAGTAATTAATTGATTTGAAGTTTCGGAATAGTCCATTTAGAATGGCTATTCAACATACGAGACAAGAAGAACAACAGCGATTGTTTGGCAATAAAGAGCAATGAAGGAAAGTGCGTCCAAAGTCATAAAATCAAGAGGTAGGCGAGATAAGCAATCAAAACAAATAGAGACAGAGAGAGAGAAGAAGAAGAAGAAAAGGTCTGATCAAACTGTCAATCACAAAGGAACCCCAGGAGGATAGCTGAAAATTGACTGAGGACTGGAATGGAATAGAAGGTTTTCCGACCGGGAGCAGAAGTACAGAGAAGGAAAATATTGTCTTACCTCACGTTTGCAGTGGTTGTAACCAGCAAGTTTACTGGCGTCAAAGAGGAAAATGGAAAAATGGAAATAAAATAAAAATGGAAAATGGATGGAAAGTGTAGAGAGAGGGTGGAGGGCAAAAGATAAAAGTAGAAGACGTGGCCGTCGAATATCGAATTAATTTGGTCGGTCAAGTAACACGTCTCAGTCGAATACGACGGCGAGTGGGTGGTATGGGAAAGATGGAAAGTTAGTGGTTAGGTTCGGTAGGGGGAAGAGAAAAGGAAGAATGAGACGGCGGTGGACGAATTTGGCCTGAGTGGAGGGATGGGCTGGAATGGGGTTGGGCGCGCCTCATAAAGCTGGGCAGGACCGATCCTGGCAGTGATTGGGTTGTTGGCGCGCTGAAAGTGGGTGCAAGCGTCCGCTTGGTTTCCTGGCTGGGCGGGCTGGCTGGTTTAGGTGGTAGGCCGTTTTACATTAGGTACCTACCTTAGTAGGCCTGGTAGATGTTGCCCACTTCAATGTATTGCACTTTACCTTTCTAGTGGACAAATGAATTAAGGCAACTGTGGCTGGCAATTACCCTTAGCGCATACATTCACGTAAAAGAGCATCAGCTTTTGGGGTAAGTACCTAGGTACCTAATATCCCAAGCCTGTGACGATGTATTGTACAAACCTGCATCAAGTACCTAGGTACATGTGAGGCAAGAGCGCAGACAGGTGAGGGTACGTATAAAGTAAGTATTACCACTACGCCCTCTGCGAGTGTCTCTTTACGGGGCAGACGACGGGTAGACGGGCAGCATATACTGAAGTACCTAGTTGGCGGGTTGCTTCATGGATGTCCTTTATTAGCCCCTTATGTTAGTAACAGGATCGCTAGTTTCAGAATATCAGAACTGGCAGTTGTATTTACTGCAATGCTTAATATAATGTTTTTTTATTTTATTTTTTTAGTTTTTTTGCTTTTTACCATAAGGATTAAAATGCTAGAAACAATTTTATAAAAAATATAACAATAAGTTAAACCTTATATTTAATGAGTTTAAAAAAAAATATATAATTAAATAATATTAATAAATTAAATTTTTAAAAAATAATTATAATTAATTACATATACATATATGTAATATATTAAAATAAAATATAAAAGAAATTATAAAAAAATATAATAAATTTATATTTAAATTTATTAAAATATAATACTAATGGAATTTAATTTTTAAATAAATAATAATAATATAAATTAAATATTAAATTAAATATTAAAATATTTATTAAAAAAGCTTAAAATTTTTCTTTTTATATAAATTAAATATAAAATTTAAATGAATAATTAAAAAAGTTTAAATAAATAATTAAATATATAATAATTTAAATAAATTTATATATTTTTTTATTTTATATGTATTTTATAGGATTTTATAAATTTATTAATATTAATAATATTTTTCGAAATTTATTTAATTATTTATATATTTAAAACTTTATTTTTAAATATGTTAAAGTAATATTTTTTATATTTAATATTAATTTATAATATTATTTTATTTTATTTTTATTAATTATTATATAAAAGAATAATAATTTAACTATAATATAATTATAATAAATATTTTAAATTTAATTATTTTAAAAAAAATATATTAAAGTAAAAAATAAAGGTTATTTTAAAAAAAAGAATTAAATTGAAAAAAAGAATAAAAAATTTAATTTCAAGTTAAACTTTTTCTTATTTATAGTTAATTAAGGTTTTTTAAAGTTTTTAATAAATAATTTTTTTTATTTTATTAAATATTTAATTTAATTTTATATTTTATTATAATAAATAATTTTTATTTCCTTTTTTAAAAATTAATGCTTTAATTTTATATTTATTATTATATTTCTTTATTTTCATTAATAAAATTATTAACGTAAACTACGAGTTAATAATTTATACGGGTTAATAATTTATATATACATTTAAAATAACATATGTATTTTAATAATATATTATTTAATTAATTTATAATGTATTATAATAAAAAGAAATTAAATTACATTTTATGTTTTATATTTTTTTAATAAAATTAATTTTTTTAATATTAAGTGTATTATAAAATTATATAGTGTTTTTTTAATATATTATGTAATTACGTTAATAATTATTAATAATATAAATTTATAATATTATTATATAAAGAATTAATTTTTGAAAAAAAGGATATTATTATTAAATATATTATTAAGTTAAATACGTAAATATTCTTTACTTAAGTTTTTTATATTAAAAAAATAATTAATATTATAATTATTAAAAATATTATAAATTTTATTAAATAATATTAAATAATATTAAATAATATTAAATAATAAAAATGGTTTATAATAATTTAATTAATTAATTTATAAAATTAAGTATTATTATTTTTTATTATAATTATAAGTAAAATATATTTTATATTTTAATATTATAATAATAATATTATATACTTTTATATATTTACTTATTTTTTATATAGATTTTAATTATTAAATATAATTATTTTTACATTTTTAAAACATATATATTTATTATTTATTAAAGAGTTAATATATTATAGCTTTATATATATTATAAAAAAACTTTTTTTTAATGTTTTATAAAATATTTTAAGCTTTATTTACGGAAAAAATATATGTATAAATTTTAAAATAATTAAATTATACCTTTTAAATAATAAATATATATGTTTTAAAAATTTAAAAATTATTTTATTATTATTTATTAAAATTAAATATTTTATTAAAAATAATATCTTTTTAATAATTATATTATTAATTATAAATGTAAATTATATTTAATATATTATAAAGTTTTCATAATAAAATATTAACCATTTGTTTAATATAAAAAACCTAAGTAAAAAGTATTTACACATTTAATTTAATAATATATTTAATAATAATATTTTTTTAAAAAAGTTAATTTTTACGTAATAATATTATAAATTCGCATTATTAGTAATTTAATACAAATTAATAACATGGGAACTATATTTAATATAAAAGTAAGGTTTTTAAATATATAATTAAGAACGGTAAAACCTCGGTTATATTAATAAATAAAAGTAATTTTATTAATTTTATTAAAATTATTAAGATTATTAAAATTAAATAATATTAATTAAGGATATAAAAAGTCTATAAGTATATTTAAACTATTATATATTTAATTATTTATTTACATTTTTTTAATTATTAATTTAAATTTTATATTTAACTTATATAAAAGGAAAAACTTTAAGCTTTTTTAATAAACACTTTAACGTTTTATTAATGTTATGAACTAATATCTATTAGAAACGTACTAGTTTAAGTAACAGGAGCGGGGGTCTTTAAAAGCAACGGGTAAACCTCAGTTATAACCACGATCTTATATAATTTAATTAATTTAACTAATTTAATTAATTTAATCAAATTAACTAAATCACTTAAATTAACTATATTATAATATTTTTAAGGAAATGGGATAAGGGGGATAATTAAATTATAAAAGTTAATATATATTTAATTATTTATTTATATTTTTTTAATTATTAATTTAAATTTTATATTTAATTTATATAAAAAAAAAACTTTAAAGTTTCTTAATAAATATTTTTAACGTTTTATTAATACTTAACTTATATTATTATTATTTATTTAAAATTAAAACCTTTATTATTATATTTTAACGGATTTAAATATAAATTTATTATATTTTAATAGCTTTTTAATTAATATTATTATTAATTAAATATAATATAAATATTAATTTTAATAATAATATCCTTTTATTTATATAAATTAATTATGATTTATTTATTTTAAAATATTTATAAAATAAATCTTTTAAAAATTAACTTTTAATAAAAATTAATTAAATAAAATAACGTAATAAACTTAATATATTATCTTTTAATTATGTATTAAAATTAATTAATAATATAATTTTAATAGAAATTAAGTTTTAAATAAGATTATCTAAAGAAAAAGTAAGGGAAATTATTAAAATTAGTAATAAAAGGAAAGAAAAAGCCTTAATTAAGGAAAATTAAATAAACTTTTTAGGAAAGGGATTTTAAAAAATATATAAAATTTATTAAATATTTAAAAATAAAGTAAAAACTTTAAAAAAAGAATTAGCTTAATTTAAAATTAAAAAAGATAATAACAATAACGATAATAAGGATCTTAATTTATATTTAATATAATAGGACTTTATAATTTCGTTATTATTTAATAAAAGATTTAAATCTTTTCCGTCACTTAAATATAATAATATTATAAATATAAAAACTTAATTTAACGTAGTTAAACTTTATTTAACCTTTTTTTAAATTAATTTTAATAAAAATAAATATAAAGTTTTAATAATGTATTAACACTTTAAAAAAGGTATTTTTAAGTAGTTTTAACTTATTATAAATAACTATTTAAATAATATTTAAAAAAAGATAAAAGAATTTAAATATATTTTTA